ACAATGGCTCACGTGAAGATTCACGTAAATCGCAATCTCATTTGCATATTCATGTTTATTGTGTTGATTTTATCTTTTTGAATTATAATGGCACTTAATTATAATGGTTCTCATCTTGCAAAATGTCTGGTACAATCACGATAGAGATGCACGGCAGAGAAGTTGAATTTGATTTGGATTTTATGCGTTATTTTTTTTTTTCTATTAAAACTTAAAAAAACTTGAAAATGGTATTCCTTTTTGTAGAATAGAGATCTTTTAAAAGGCTTAGGCTACCTCTAAAAGCTCAGGCTACCTCTAAAAGTTTAGTTTACCTCTAAAGGCTTAGTCTACCTCTGAAAAACTTGATTTTCTTTACCAAAAGCGTGCGCAAAACGGCAAAAAGGGGCGTGGCTAGGACGGGGGGGGGGGGAAATAACGCATAAGAACCAGTAACGCTTTTGCGTCAAACTAAAAGGCAATTTTTTGAATGAAATCGAACGTCTCCTGTTACATATCCAGAATCATCCCACACAATTTCGCAACTCTCTAAAGAACATATGTTGTATGAAAAAACGTCTGCAACACAAAAACGGTTTAAACCCTTAATAAATAAAAACCACAACAGGTGTGATGACTCTCGATATGCGCCCACAAGCGACTTGTGACCGGTTGTGTTTTGAAATTATTTCTCAACAGAAAAAAATCTGTTCATTCATATGGGTGGCTATAATGAATCGACGAAACTTCATTGCTTTCGATTGTAAATCATTCCATGAATATTGATATGCTACTTGGCCATGTGGCTTTTTTCTTATCACATACTACAGTTATTGTCATGCGAAAAAGGTTCACTGGAGCATTTTCGTGAAGAATTTAAGGCGTTTGATGGAAAAAGTGTATTGTGTTCTCATGATTGACAATCTTCTCTGATTGCAACTATCGTATATGAGACTGATATGGCAGTAAGAGAAGGGAAAAGCCCACGTGTATTTCAATGCTTAAAATAGTGTGTTTTCGTAATGAATCATGATTGATTCACGTTCTTTCTAAAGCATTGCAACAAACTGATCTATTTATTATGAAACGGAGCCTAAACAATGCGTTAATACCAAGAAAGCAACCTTAACATCTGAGTCATAAGAAGCAAATACGACAACAGCCTTGCGTTAGATGGACGACAAGGTTGTCATTGAATTGACTTTCTTTCTGTTTAGTCCCTCATTCTCAAAAGATTCACGTCGAATCAAACGCTCAATACATTTGTTTATCTACTTTTCTCAACATCACAGAAATATAAAATGGTATTTCCGTTATTTTCCCATTCAAATACACATCGTTGTCCATCATTCGTTTGAGCATCTGGTTGATTGATTCAAATATTTCAAATTAGAAATGTTGTCTATTAGGAGATGTTTGTGTTTTTCGATGAAGAAAATTCAAAAATCTCGTTCAACCGCCTGAACTGACCTTGTTATTCACAAATTTCTGTTTGTCTGCATACTAAGCAATTTCAATTTTTATTAAGAATTATTGTATTTAGCGGACATTGTTGAGTTCAAGAATCATAATTTCATTTTCTTGACCTTATTAACAAAAGTGAAACGGAATTTGAATGAATCACACAACAGCCCACTCCTTTCATAATTTTTTTTATTTTCATCGTTCTAAAAATTTTTATTTTTTTTACTCTTATCTCTGTTTGTTCATGTCTTTATAGACTTTTTCAAATGATCATTCATGTCTTGTCGAGGTATAAATATTGTGTTTCAAACAGTTTCTTCAGTTTTCTTATTCTCATATTCTCTCTTACTCATTATATTTTTCAGTTCAAAGTATGCCCAACTGTCCTGCGTGCTCGAAACCAGTCTATTTTGGTATTATTTCTATTTTTAATTTATACAATACAATTATAACTTTTTAAGCTGAAAGAGTTCAGTCGTTAGGTAAAGACTGGCATAGACCATGCTTACGATGTGCCAATAATCAATGTAATAAGACGTTAAGTGCTGGAAGTCATTCAGAGGTATAATCAACTGATCTATTCATGGCTTTTCCTGATTTTCAATATTGTAGCATGACGGCAAACCTTTTTGTAATCGTTGTTATGGAGCTATGTATGGACCCCACGGATATGGACATGGTGGAACAGAAAGTCATACTTTCTTGAAAGGAACTACCGGAGGAACAGCTGGGGGAGCAATGTAATCAACATTGGAAGCAATAATAATCAAAAGAAAGTATAATAAGAGTTCGATGTTTGACTTGTATAGAACAAACAATCTCATTCCATGTAAATCAATGAATTCTACAGCAATAAAAGTTTTTCCAATTTTTTTTTCCAAATATTCTTCCATTGAATACTTCCCTTCTCACACTTCGATGATATCATTGAATTTTAAGCTGCCAGGAACTTTGAATGCAGATCAGAGATCTTACAATTATTGAATAATTAATATGTAGTGCGTACATCATCAACAGCTTGGAGATGAATTTCGAAGCTTGTCTTCAAGATTCATCCTGTTAACCAAGTATTTTTTCAGCTTCGTCAGAAAACAATTTTGGAAGATTGTTGATGTGAGTGAAGGAGTAGAGCTGCTCAAAAATCAGAATTGATACAACCGTTTAATGTGTAAGCATATCAATGAAATTGAATGGATGTCCACGTCATTCACGTACATCAAGTATGCAAATGTTGTGTTGCAGGTGTGCTATGTGATACTTTTAAGAATGAGAAGAAAAGACTAATATATGAACTTATAATATGATCGTTGTCAAGAAGTATTAGCACAAGCAAAGACAGCGAATGTATAGTTAATCAGCTTAAACAAATTCCCATGGTTTTATTTTCTTTGCATAATAATCTTGAAAATTGACAACAAACAGGAGAAGTATATGCAAGCCAGGCTTCATCAAGCAGATAAAAGCATATATGGCTCATTTCTCATCCAAAGGCTTATTTGGAATACAAGATAATTATGGTTTTCTTTCTCTTTCATTACTGCTCACTTCATGAAGCGACAAAATCATTTGAGGAAGAAAAAAAACGGAAAAAATTAATTTTCTCTTACAGCTTTACATCCCTCTCCCTATGTATTGTATGCGAACAGGCCGGCAGGCATCTCATCGGCATCCCATGTCATGCTTCTCCCATTTACTCCACTTTTTAATATTTTTATCCATTCAAATAGAGAATTATTTCTCATTCTCTTTAGAAATTTTTATTTCTCCGTTTATCTTTCGAGAATTTTCCCAACGAACTTCTCTCACACACCATTTCGAATTCTCTCTCTAAGTTCTCGTGATCAGGTTTACTTTCTTGAATTCCATATGAAGCAGACATGTATTGTAAGCTAGAGCGAATAGATTAAAATGAATAGAATGAAAGATGTGGGATGAGTGGGCAAAAGAGTGAAAGTAAGAGAGTGAGAGAGATAGATGGTGAATGCGAGCAAGTAGTTGAGGCTTGAAACCTTATTTTGGTTTTTTAATAAACGGAATCATCCGCAATCTCCCTCTAGTCTCCGAATCTAGAAGTTGAGTGAACTTAACTGCTCTCCTCGATTTCAAAGCGATGATTTTCGTTTGTCCGAATATCTTCTATCGCTCTCTCTATCTCTCTCTTCCTCCCTCTTCCTCTTTTTCTTCCTCATTTTTGTTTCTAATGCACTAAAGAAAAGCTTCGGAACAAAGGAATTAGTTTAACAGTTCGCTGAGCAAATGCTCGTATGCGAATAACTCCTAATAAACTCGAAAGGTTTTTAACCAAACATTTACCTTTCACCTCCTTTTGCGGGTTTTTCCTGCGCCAGGAAGACGAATCAGCATAATTACATGGAAAACCATTGTTACTCTGCGAACGATCTGTACTTTTTTATACCAAAAAAGGAGGAGACGAATAAATAAATGTCTCATTAATTCGTCTTTTAAACTTCCCTCTGAAAGAAATTTGTTTTTGTTTATCATCCCCTCTCATCCATAAATTGAATATAATCTTTTTTTTTGGGAGTTGTGTGGAAGAGACAAATTAGAATTCTGTTACTTTTCAAGAACCTTTCCTTCTTTTCTTCAGTTCTGTTCACTACTGTCTCACACATGCCATTTCCTCCCTCTCTCTCTCCCCCTCCCCTCCTCCCTCAATGCTCTACTAATGAAATTATGATTGCCAAGAGACGTAAAGTTCATCTGAAGGCTGACATTCGCTTCATCCAGGAATCAAAGTATTTCGTTCTCATAAATCTTCTTCTTCTTCTTCATCCTCTTCATTCCTTTCATACTCATATATCAAGATGATTACAGCTTTTAACACCCAAAACCTTTTATTATAAACGACCATCATTTTTGGCCAAAAAAAGAAGAAGAAGAAGAAGAACATTTCACACGCAAACATTTTTTTTTCTTCTCCACATCATCTCCAAGTCAAATATAAACAGAATTGGCGATTGAAAATTTCAACTGACAAACAAATAATTTGAAAAAATAAAAAAAATAATTTCCAAGAATACAGAACCTTCAGAGAACAGAAAGAGCAGAAACGACAAAAAAATGTTCAATTCTAATACATCTTCCCTCATGAATGTTGTGATGATCTCTGTTTGCCAACCCTAAATATGAATTTTCCTTCTGCTCTCTAATCTTACCATACTCCTAACGAATCATTTCATTTTGTGCTCAAATGAAAATCCTGAAAAATCTGTGATCGGCGGTCATTCATACTCTGTGAGGCTAATTGAGCTTCAATGGCTTCACGTGATAGCATCACAATCTTCTTGAGATTTCTTTATGCGAAACTCTTTAATGTCCTATTATATAAATCAAATAACGGTAGGATTAACTGAAACAATGAAGAAAAAATGTTTTTCCCTTTTTCCCGCCCGATCTATCTTTTGTATTTTTATAAAAGGTCTCTATATCTCTTATACATTTACCATTCTTGAGCAGATGTAAACCAATCAGTTCAGTTTTCTAGATATTTAAATACACATAGAATGTAATACAAAAGTAAAATATTTCTTCGTTTTCACCTCCTTTTCCCGCATTTTATCATTTCCTAATCGCATTTTGCGTACTCAAAATCATAATGAGATGCTTCAGGAAGATATCTCCAAATATGGCAAACAGATAAGGAAGATGACTTTTAGTTTCTAATCCCACCCACTCTATTTGAAAGCTTCACCTTTAATCGACTCAGCCAATCCAGCTCAAATTGTCAATAGAGCAAATGATTAGGATGTACAATTGATTACATCATTGTATGTTCATCTAAAAATATATTTTTGTTCTCCTCATTAACGCCACTTCAATAATCTTGAACAATTCCAAGAATTTAACATTCGAATCCATAACTTCTAAGGAATTCCTTAAATCTCCTTTTTTGGTCACTCAAACAAGTTCAAATATCATATGTGCGTATGTGTGTGCAGATTTATAAAAATTAAGAAACTCATGTAACAGCTTTCGTTGCAATATGAATTATTTCTGGAATTAATTATTTATAACAGAGAAAAGACATGTTACAACGGAAGTTTCAGATTTTGAGCTCATGAAAATTTTTTTTCCTCATCTTCAAACATCTCATTATGAAGCTTTCTGTCATAAGCATTTGACTTCCGTCTTCGGATGGTGCTGGCAAATGGAAAAAGTACATGAAATATCCTCAAACACATCTTTAGATATCACCAAAGCCATTTGTTTTTCGCTCTTCCTTCTTCCACCCCCCCTCTCCCGCCACCTCTCTCCCAATACATTACACACACCTACGTTAAAAAACAATAATTTTCAATCTTTTTCCCGAATTACCATATAAGGTTCATCATTTTTGATTATTTGAAATATATTCAGTTTGCTTTTTCCATAAGCTCCGCCTCCACGAGACATTCCTGACTATTTTCCATTTCAGCTTTCTCATACTACTTCACTTGACTCGCAGTTGATGTCTGTAGGAAGCTTCTGGCATTTTCTCCGTCAAAGCCATCAACTTATCAAATACTATGACATTTACTAAGATCCTGATCCTCCTTTCTACAAAGAGAAATATCCTCAGAGCTTGAGTGATTTTTCCATCCACCAATCCCATTCGTTATTTATCTTTTTACTCCTAATTCTCATAAGATAATAATGAGCAAGATAAGATTGAAAACATACAAAGCGCCAATCAGATTAAGCTGGCTTCTGGCTTATCGGAATTCTTTCTATCCTTTTTTTATATTAAAAAATCCGTATGTATCACTCTAAAACTTTCCATCTACGTGCCCTTTCCAGTTGCTCATTTATGCTCGTCCTCCATTTGTGGTTGTTCTCTTCTCTTTTTCAGCTCTTAATATTCGCATAGTAAATCTCTATTAAACATTTTAGTTGAAGAGAATGAAGGTGCTTTTCGTACTTCTCGTCATCTGCCTATACTGCTCCGTTACAATCGCTCAAATGACTTTTACTGATCAATGGACTAAGAAGAATGTTATTCCACAACAACCTGAAAGGCAATTTTTTTATTGAGAAAATATATAAAACTGATTGATTTGTAGAAAAGAAATGATCTGTTCATCCAAGAGAACTATGGATGCTCATGCGCAACTTGAACGTATCCAGCAAGCTCAAGCTCGTATAAACAGTTATTTGGAATTTTGCTATCAGAATTAACAATGGCACGAAGAATCTTCTCATCTATGAGACTAATTTTACAAACAGCATGTACTTAATGCTTCCCTTGTTAGCTTTTTTTTCCTCTTCCAACGGAAAAAAAGTGAGAGACAGTGAGTGAGAGAGTGAAATTATATAGAGTGAGAGAGAGAGAGATAGAGAGAGAGAGAGAAAGAGAGAGAGATAGAAAGATCGAACTTCTATGGAATAAAAAAGTTTCTGCAACACCCAATGTCATTGTGAGAACAGAAATTCCATTTATTTTTTATTAATATTATACAAAATAATTTTTGTCATTACTTCATCTTCTTCATGTCTTATACCATCTTGTATTCGTAGTCTATCATCTTCATAACAGTAAGGTGATGATGTATTCGGCTCTGTATTTACAGTTTACAAATGAAAAACCATATTTGGATTTTCAATTCATATTCCTGTTGGTCAATAAATAAATGAATTTTCTGTTATTTTTTTCTTCATCACTTGTTCTTCATTCATCTTTTAAAACAAAATATTTCATTCCATCTCATCCAACTTTGCAAACGAAGTCGAAACTCACTTCTTCTTCTTCTTTTTCTTTTTTTTTTCATTCATCTTAATAATAAAGTAATTGTTTACCAGAAAATAAATAAACAGCATCTTCATAAACAGCACTGTTTCGTCTATGCCCTTCCATCTTATCTATAACTACGTCACAGCGGAAAACGGAAAAAGATAGTTTCATGAAAAAAATAAAATAAGAGGAAAAGAAACAAAAAAAAGAGAAATAGAAAAATAAAGAAATCAGAATGATTTCTCGTCATGTTGTTTGTGCTTGATTTGCATATTTCACGTGGAACTCACACGTAAGATAAAAAAGCCGGGCATATTTCATTTGGAGCATTTGGAAATTGACAGAACGGTTGTTTTCTTTACCATTTTTTCTTTCTTCATTCTTTCTCGAATTAATTCTTTCATTTCCAATTAAAAAAAAAAATTTTTTTATTTACAATTAGCTACAAACGGGACAATTAGAAAAGCTGTTTAATGACACCTCAAATGTTTATTTCTTTAACTTCAAATAGTAAAACTAATAAAAAAAAATGAGAAAAGTTAATCCAGTTTGATTTCACTATCCTTTCGTTCAAGTTTAGCAGGTGCTTGAGTTATGGTGGCTTTGTCATTCATTGTCACGTTTCTTGAATTGAAATAATGAAACAAATTTTTGGAATGAACAAAAAAGAAAATTAAAACCGTGGTTTAGATGAAATAGCAGACGGCTTACGTGTCTCACCAGCTTTGAACTCAGTGCCACTAAACAATAACATTGAACCATTTGATTCGATTTTCAATAACATTATTTCTTCCTTCTCTTTTTTTGTCGAATAATAAACTTACTCGGATTTCCATTCGTTACACAAATCAAACTGACAGCAGCAGAATGTTTCTTTAGACGATTGCCAATGACAACCAGTCATCTTAAATTACCAAAGCTTCAAATTGAAATAATAATAATAATTGCTGTTAATATATTTATAATTATTGAGCAAAAGAAAAAAAAAGATGATCTTTGTATTTTATGATTAAGCTTACTGGACATCGCTCTTCCATATTATGCTCATCGGAGAAAGAAGAACATGAACGTTTAATAACATTCTTAGATTTATCAATATGTTGTAGACAATATGTAGATATTCCACCACATTCCTATAATACAATACAATCTAACCATTTATAGTTTGGACAATCAAGGACTTTTTCATTCGTTTTGTCAATACTATCCAATGCTACAGTTCCTTCATAGCATCGAAGAGCTATTACTGAGCTTGAAACGAAAATACATAAAAGAAGTAGCTTCCGTTGAAAATACATCACTGAATAATACAAATTTATATTTTTTAAAAATATACATCTACTATATGTATTTTCAATTGAAAAATTAACATTTTACGAATGAAATTCATGCGTTTAGCAGCATCCGCAGCAAGACAATGATATCTTAACGATATCGTTGTAACAAAATGCTTCAATTGTTGTAATAAAAGTTTAAAATAAATAAATTATTTTGTTTTTTTTATATTTTTGTTCTCATCTTATCAATCAGTTCAAATGATAAAAAAATTTGTTTTACGACATTTTATTTAAAGCAATAAAGCTCATCCCTTACTTCTCCTATCTGAAGCAATCTGATGGTCTAACGAATAATGATGGAGCGAAGAAAAATTACTTGAGCAATTACATTAAACCAGTATTCAAGTAGATAAAAGACTTTTTTTATTTCAACCAAACAAGTTTTTTCAACGAAATTTTGTTAATCAGCAGCTTTTATACGTAGCTTGCGCCTTGCTATCTCATGAAGCTTCTGCTTCACCTTTCATCTTAGACGGTGTGTAGGTGTGTGTGTGTGTGTTATCAACAAGTGAATTCAAGAATTATCGCTGTCACATAAATAAATATGTTTTTTTTTCTCTCTCATGGAATTTAAAAGCAAGATCTGAACGATAAAATCATAATCTTATCCATTCATCTGAATTATGGAAAGCGAAGTGAAACGGAAGAGGTAAAAGTTTCTAAACAGAATGAAGTCTCACTCAAACGTCTTTGATGTTCAGTTACTAGTAAAAGACAAAAATATCCTTTCGCAACATTTCATTTCTTTCATCTGATGCATTCAGGTAAGAATCAACTTCCTCGTGAAGTTTCTTTTCATTTTTAGTTTGTTGCTGTCAAAGGAGCGGTTGTCCATAAACTATTCGAGTCATTGAAACTTTACAGTTCAAACATTGACTGCCAGGGTGTCTCTTGTTTAGTATTCAATTTATCAAAACACTATCACATGCATCGCAAAGAAAACTGTTCGCATAACTTCATTTCGACGCATACTATCTCCTCAACCAATTAATTTGCAAAAGTTTCATTCGCTTTCTATCAAGAATCCCCAGTGATATGATCAATTTTTATCTTAATACATTAATGATAATGAACTTTCGACATGAACCTGATCATAAAATGGGAAATCCTTCAGTTTATTTTGAAAAATATCAAAAAAAGAAAAATGAAAACGAAAATTAGAGATTGAGATAGGGCAATGATTCGTAGATGAGAATACAATACAATTGGAACTTCGCCAAAGTGAGAAAACAGTACAGATTGCCGAGAGAGGAAGAGATGAATTGTTTTGTCAGAAAGAATGACTCATAATTGTCTTGGAAAACAAGAAGTTCATGTAGTTTGTGGTTTACGATTTCATATTGGCGGTAAATGAGCATGTTTGAAGAAAACTATTCGAGTTGTTCTTTATTTATTTACTTCTCGCCATTATTTCGCTTTCTTATTACCTATGCATGCTTTAAATGATCAGCAAGACTGTTGCAATTTTGAACGTTCATCTTTAGGCGACGGTACTCGTTCACCTTTGAGCATCTACATTGGTTGCTTTCTTCTTCTCATCTCTCTCGAGCAGCTAAGTCGGTTAGTTTGTTTAAGAGACCAGTCTGGTCCCCTGTTACCTACAATTGTATCTTGCGGTGACTGATGGAGCTTGTTGTTGCATAGTCTAATCGTCACAAGAGAATTAGGCACTTTTGACTTTCCTCACTTTGTGCTCTTCAAGTCTCAACAACAGTATCGATTTATTCCAATCTCACATCGTGTTTTTTTTGCAACGGAGGCACGCCACCACTATAGAAGCTAGTCCATAGGTTGGTATCTATAAAGCTGCAGCTGTTCCTTTTAAGGCGAAACGGAAGAATGCGTATTTTGAAAAAAAAAATATCGAATCTTATTTGTATTTGGAGTGAGGCCCTTAACAAGTTCATGTGTTTCCTTTTGCAATTTCACTATTTTTTACACATGATTGTTGTTTCAAATTCACTGGTGATAAGTTTTCCATAACAGGGTGTTAAGGCATCAGCAATCAGCAGAATTCGCAACAGAAGAGATATAAATGATACTTAGCACCTTTGGGAACAACATTTTCTCATTAGCGACTTGAGTTTTACAATTGTGCGTGGACTCTGTACCGTTCCCCGTTCTTTGCACTTCTCATGTAACTATCAGCCTATCTTCTCATTCGCGAAAGCAAGAAGACTTCATTAGTGGGCATGTAGTCGATCTCTCAAACTCTTTCTATGTTGGACTTTCGAATCGCTTTTATCTTTTTATTTCTCATTTTGAACAGTGTAGACTTTGACCAGAAGTATTATGGCCAAGAGGTGGCCTGATGCGATATCAGTAGAACCGTATTCTGTTTTGCGCGGCCTTGGTTAGGCGTAGCTTATCATTTTTCTTCAACGTTCTCTACTTATTTCCGACTTTTTCAAATCTGTGAACTCATCTCATGTTTTTTTAGGATTGTTTCAACTTATTTCTTACCGATATGTTAAAGGACACTGCCTCTTGGGTTCAATCACAGGGGAGGTTAGTTGCAAATCATTGCTCGCGGCTTCGGTTACCATTGCTTGAAATCGCAATCTCAATCTAGTTCCTCCGAAAGTAATGAGATAACATCAAAATTATTGGTTCTGGGGTAGATCAAGCACTTGTTTCCCTTATTGTCTGTATGTAAACAGGAATGTTTACTCATTATTCATGTTATTGAATCCGAAATCTCTTTAACAAACTGTTTGAAATGTTTATTTCAAACCGTTTTTGTCGTTGGAGAAATGTCTCTTTCAATACAATCTTTCCTCATTTAGTAGCTCAATTAATTGGGAGGTGTTCAGGGGGGAAGGGAGAATATCTGCAATAATCTCACTTGTATAAAATGTTTTTCAGAGCTGTAGCCGGTTTCGTTGACAACGCAGTTCAAAATCCTAACAGCTTAAGCTACCTAACCGTAGGCGCCACAGCAGTTGCAGCAATGGGTTTAGGATATTATTTGACAAGAGAAACAAATAACAAACTCACACCTCTTGTTGATCCCAACAATCAGAGTGAAGTTAAGCCTGTATGTTCAATTTTTTTTTCTGTTTCATCTTGCTCTTAATTAAAGGATGGTTCAAGAGTTTGCGCCTATTTGAAAGGAAAAGAGCTTGTTCCCTACATGTTTGATGATGCTCGTACTCTCTATCAAGGTGTTCGAAGAGGTGCCCGTCTCTCGAACAATGGACCCATGCTTGGTAGCCGCGTGAAACAAGCCAATGGATCAGAACCTTACGTTTGGATTTCTTACAACGAAGTGAGTTGCCGAGAAAACTCATCTTTTATCTTTGTGTGTTATCTTCATCGTTTGCTTGCAGGTTCTTGACCGTGCCAATAACGTATCAGTTGCTTTCCGCGAGCTTGGGATTCCAGTTGGAAACGATATCAATATCGGAATTTATTCGAAAAATCGCCCTGAGGTTTGGAAGATATTTTTTCAAGTTATCAATGATAGTTGTTTTAGTGGATTATAACTGAGCTTGCTACTTACAACTATTCGAATGTTATTGTTCCCATTTATGAAACACTTGGGTCTGAGGCTTGCGTTTACATCTTGAACCAAGCCGAAATTCCGATCATCGTTTGTGATGCTGCTTCCAAAGCTGCAGGTTAGATAGTTTTATTTCAAGAAAATCTTTTGATTTGTTTGTTTCAGGATTATTGAAGCAGAAGCCTAACTGCCCATTCCTGAAAGTATTGGTAATCATGCAGACACCAAGTGAAGAAATGCTCAATGAAGCTTCTTCTCTTGGAGTTAAACTACTCACTTTCGACCAACTTGAAAAGTTGGGTAAGGATTCTTCCTCCCATTCTGCCCATATTGAACCAAAGGTACACTTTTGAGAGTTTCTCGTTTTAAACTTGTTTTCAGCCCGAAGATTTGGCTACTATCTGCTACACTTCTGGAACTACGGGAACTCCAAAAGGAGTCATGCTCACTCACGCTAATGTAATAGCCGATGGAGTGTGTATGGATTTTTTCAAGCACTCGGGCATTCAACCTTCTGATTCGATGATCAGTTTTCTTCCTCTGGCACATATGTTGGAAAGAGTAATTGAAAGTGTTTGCTTTATGGTTGGAGCGAAAGTAGGATTCTATAGGTTTGTACAAAATAATAAATCATAGTTGTAAGTACAACTTGCAGAGGAGATATTCGTCTTCTAGTAGACGATATCAAAGAACTGAAACCTACTGTTGTTCCTGTTGTTCCTCGTGTTTTGAACAGAATGTATGACAAGGTGAGAAGAACTAAACTAAAAAGTATAAATTTCTCTATTAGGTTATGTCTGAAGTCAACAAATCGAGAGTCAAGAAAGCTTTGTTCGAGTTGGCATTACTGTACAAATCTCGAGAGATGAGCAAGTAAGATAATATTTTTAAGCTTTTCCCCATTTCATTTTTTTTTCAGATTTATCGTACGTAATGATGGGTTCGTCGATGCTCTTTTCAAAAACATCAGAGAAGGCCTTGGAGGAAGAGTGAAGCTGATGATCACCGGATCGGCTCCTCTCGCTGATAATGTCTTATCTCTCATTCGCGCCGCCATGGGATGCATCGTTGTCGAAGGTTATGGTCAAACCGAATGTGTTGCAGCTTGTACCGTAAGTTGTCTTTAGCATTATCGCTTAAACAAACGTTTCACAGGTTTCCATGGAGGGAGACTCTAAGGCAGGACACGTTGGTATGGTGATTCCTTCAGCCAATATCAAGTTGGTAGATGTACCTGAGCTTGGTTATTTCGCTAAAGACAACGCTGGAGAAGTATTTTTTTTCCTTAGATGAGATAATAACCCATTTTTGTTCAGGTTTGTGTCAAAGGTCCAATTGTTTTCCGCGGATATTACAAAAATCCTGAGCAAACTGCCGAAGTCCTCGACGAGGATGGATGGTTGCATACCGGAGATATTGGACGATGGACAAAAGAAGGAACTTTGAAAATTGTAGACAGAAAGAAGCACATTTTCAAGTTGTCTCAGGTTTGTGTGTAAATACAATACGTTAGTTAATCCGAACTTCCAGGGAGAGTACGTTGCTCCAGAGAAAATTGAGAACATCTACAGTCGCTCTAAGTTCATCGCTCAATCATTCGTTTATGGGGAGTCCTTGAAAACATGCCTGATTGCCGTTGTAGTTCCTGACGAAGAAGTAATCATAATGTTCATGATATTCAATTTCTATTTCTTTAAAGGTACTTGTTGCTCATTGTGAGAAACTTCATGGCCAAAAAGAAACATTCGAAGAACTCTGCAAGCGTGAGGACGTTAAGAAGATGATTCTTGACGATTTAATAGATATCGGAAAGAAAGCTGGTTTGTTCTCGTTTGAACAGGTGTGTGTCGTTCTTCTCTATTTTGTAAGCGAATCCTTTTCAGGTAAAAGATATTCACGTTTCCCACGAATTGTTCAGTATTGAAAATGATCTTTTAACTCCTACTCTGAAATCTAAGAGACCAAAGTTAAAACAACACTTCGCAGAAGAATTAGCAGCCATGTATGCTCATCAAAACTAAAACATCTCTTATCACTACGTACTTCGGGTACCCATTCATTCTACGTAGGTGCTCTCAGGCAAAAGCATTTAACCAAACTCCCGTGTATTCTAATCTTTCACGTTCAGTAGTTCCTAATAACTAATATAGAAAAACTTGTTTAGGCAGAGTTTTATCATTTTTCTGTTTCATATGCTGTGATCAATTTAATCTTGCTCTTCTCATGCAGTTTTACCGATTCCATTAATAATCTACAATTGTTCTTCGATAGAACAATAAATTTTTCTTTTTATGTTTTTGTGCTTATAGTTATAACGACGGAAAGATTTCTAAAAACGGAATTGCGTCATCAGTTTTGTTTTCTTTTTTTTTGCGATGATAAGTGTGTTTTGACCAACATTCCCGTACGTTTTATAAAATTTTATAATTGTTCAGGAAAAACAAACTCTTAAAAACAATTGATGGATTTATGAAACGGTCATGATGGGAATAGTTTTGATTAATATAATATAATGAACTGTTTTTCATTGAGTAAGATACAAAGTTATACCATATTAACGTGAATTTAACATCCTCGAAGAATAAAGAAAGAATGATTGCGGAGGAGAACAGGGAAATCTTCGGATTCTTATAGGAAATTAAAGTTATGACTAGAGTATGTCATATAAGAAAGCATTTGTTTTTAGCGATAAGATTAGTAAAAAAACAACAGTTTTCAAAAAAATCATGATGTAGTATCACGGAAAACTAAAAAAGTTGATAACTTCATACTCCTCATACTTCTAGTATTATATTTATCAGTGGAAAATTTGAAATCGCTTCATCAAAAGAGCGCCGTTGTAATTAGGATAAATATTCATGAAGCGTTCATTTATTCATTCATGCTTCACAATCAGCAGGGAACGGTTGCATTCTTTATTATATTTCAAATTCACCGTACCGCTCCAAACAACCGTTGATGTTATTTTTTTCCAAGATTATAGCAAAACAAGACATATTGAAACATTGTGCACAGTTGTGACAGAAACTTCTAAATAAGGAATACGTTCTTCTCTTCTCCTCAAATAAGTCATAAAAGGCATATACTCATGACTTTTCATTGGGAAAAATACGTAGAAAGACGTGTACGCGCTAGTTTTGATATCCGTACAGTTTCTTTTTTTCTTTTGCGGTTATGAACTATAATTTATTTTGAATATAGTTATTATACATTCAAACATTGTTTTCATACTCTCAAGACACGAATTGATTATTCAATGAAGTGTTATTTCATAGCCCTAATTCCACGAACACTCCAACGTTGTATATCTTTGCTTCAGGAAATGTCGGAAGTCAATGTTGATAACCCATACGATGATATCCCACCTGATCCACATGCTGCTGAGTCAGAGCTAACTGAAGAGGTATCAATCACATATACATTTCTGTAAAACTAATCATGATTTCGTAGGATCTATACCGCATGAAAAATTTGGACAGAGGAGCAGCTTCGACTGGTGAGTGTTCTATCTTATGCTTGGTGTGCCAAAAGGTGTTGTAGCAGTGGGGTTACTATGGAAACTATCTTTATTTCTCTTTCACTTCTTATAACTGGAAGTAATTGCTTGTTATTCTATTGATTAATGTTCGGATATAACCCTACTCGCACGACTTTAGTTGTTCGTCCATAGTACTCTTTAGACAATGCAGAACAATCTATCATATCAATCGCTGATTCCGCTAGCAATTTCGAGGACCGTCTTGGAGAAGAGTTCGATGATGTTGATAACATTGATGACGAAGAGCAACAGTTAGGTGAAGATGAAAAAATCGTTAGTTGCCTAGTTCTATTCATATTTTTCTGACTTTACATCGTTGTAGGAATCAGTGGTGTCCGGAAACTATCTCTTTGGAAAGAATCGTCGGAATAGCCATTTGCTTAATAAAGAAACAGGTTAAACTTCCTTCATACTTGAACAAATTTTTAATCTATTTTAGTTACCATTCTTCATTACCCGGATAATGTTTTATATCCTCAATGCCCACCAGATGAAAACCCTGAGGAATGGGAAAAGCTTTTCCACGAAACTACTCTTTATCTTATTGGAACTGCTCATTTCAGGTAAAGTGATAGAATGAATACTCCAATCATTTTGTTTCTGTTTATAGCAAAGAGTCCCAAGATGATGTGATGAGAACAATTGGACGGACACAACCTGATGTCGTTATGGTGGAGTTATGCCCAGGAAGAGTATCTATTCTTTCAATGGATGAAGCTACACTTCTCAGGGAAGCAAAAGAGTTGAACATGGAAAAGATAATGACCACCATTAAACAAGTTGATTTTCAAAAAAAATTCTGTTATGTTAGTTATATATTTAGAGCGGGGCAGTGCAAGGTGTTTTACATGTACTCCTGCTTTCTATGTCTGCGCATATCACACGTCAGTTATCCATGGCTCCGGGTGGGGAGTTCAGAGCTGCTCATCGAGCTGTACAGAACATTAAAGTTTAAAACAGGATAATATTCCCGAGCTAATCAGTCTGTCGTTCAGCTATGCCGATTGATTCTGGGTGATCGTCCCATACAAATCACTCTACAGAGAGCTTTGGGATCTTTGACATTCTGGCAGAGACTCAAGTTTTTCTGGCATGTTTTAATGTCTCACAGAACAGAAATTACTCCTGAAGAAGTTTGTTTCTTCAGCTCTTTTCCTTAAAACCTTCTGAATCAGGTTGAGAATTGTAAAAAGCGCGATTTGCTTGAGGAACTTCTAGCTGAAATGGCTGGTGATTTTCCCAGTTTATCGAAGGTTAAACTTTTTGCTCTTCGAACTCTGATTTCAGCTTTAAGATTTTTGTCGAGGAAAGAGATGATTTCATGAAGCTTGTTTTGCACAAGCTAATGATGAGTCACACTGTTGAAAAACGTGCTGCTTGGAGAAAACTTCAAAATGTTCCATGGGAACCTGTCAATGTACGAAATTAATATGTGTATTTTTTTGAAATTCCATTTTCTGCAGATTGTAGCCGTAGTGGGTATTGGCCATACTCTAGGTATCACGACTCGTTGGGATACTCTGGTTGATGGAGAACCACTGATGACTATCCCTCCTCCTTCTGTAACTGGAAAAGTATGCGTTTATTATGTAGGGCTTGATTCAAGTTTGTTTTATAGGTAGTCAAATTCACAGTCAAGTACGCATTTTACGGAGCAGTAGGTTACCTATTGTTCCGAGGTGTCACCAGGGCAATCAGAAGATTCAATTAAAGTTTTAATGCGATTCATTTTTTGTTCAATGATAATGGAATCTTATTGACGCTGTGATTTTGAAAGTTTTACTTGATTATTTTAGCATAATCTGCTTCTGTTTTTTGAACTTCAGATCATGTCTAAGTATTCTATTTCATAGCCTATAGATTTAAAGAAAGTTAATGTAATACTCTTGTTTTTCCACAATATGGTTTATACCATTAACATTTACATACTTCTTTGATACTTTATCTGATTCATGTATAACGATATTTCTCAGATCATGACGATGCAAGACATTTGGGATATTGACTGCCATACTATGTTCAATGTAAGATTTCTGTGGCCAATTAGTTTGATACCTTCCCCTTCAGAGTTTTAAAAACTTTTTCTTGTTCCACAAAAGTGATGATGGACCTTTCGGAGGATTAGTTTTTGGTAGACCTTCTACCAAGCAGATAGTTCAGGTTTGCTACTTGCGTGCATTCTTTGTTTGTAAGATACTTTAAGGTAATTTTTGTCAATTCTGATTCCATGAATGCTGCCACGATCGAGTTTATCACCAGCTCGTTGTCTGCAGGTTGTAATATTGGTTGGCCCAGCAACTAACTTATATTCAGATCTTGAACATGTGGGAAATTTAGTTGTAGAGGGTCATAATTTACCAATGATTGGTGATGGATTTGTCCTTAACACAACCCAAGAAGCCTTGGAACGAAACAGCGTCAGCGAGTTTTTGGATAGAAATGGAATGTTGAATTCCACTCGTTTCAATAATGATGGTTTATCAGTATGGGCCAAGGTAAACTCCAATCAAAGACTCAGTATGCTGAATCTTTCAACAGATTGGATTTGAATGCAATATAAGGAAGAAGAAGGAAAGTGATGATTTGAAAATCAATGCTGAGCGTTTCATAAGCGATTTAGATAGACTCGTCTTCATCAACCAGGTCAGTTGGTCTAAGTGTTCTCTGTATATTTTTTAAGTACAGTCGAAGGGAATTATTTTACGGAATGTCCCTGAGAAAGATATTGTCCGGAATGTAGTTAGGGATATAGCTAAAGGATCTTCTCAGTACAAGGTTTATATTTGAATCCACTTGTGTTAAATTAACTCTCTAGGATTCTCTCGGGTTTACGACTTTGCATAATTTAACAAGAAATACCAGCAATGATAAGGAAGACCAGAAAATGGTCCCAATAGTTCGTATCACTAGAGGTTGGTAGAAATAAATAAAAGACTGTATAAACAGTTGTTCAGATGGAACTGAATTCGAAAAGCTGTCCACCCTATTCACGGTGGTTGTACCTGCTTTCAGTGAAGATGACAGCAACACTTTGTATAAACGATTCCAGGTTGTTCTGTTTCCGTTTTTGTTACATTACTCTTGTAGGAAGGAGTACGGAGGCGCATTCAAAATTTAGTTTATACTTTGATAAACGGTTTCAAGAAACAAGTGAGTATTCAAATTGTTACAGTGTTCTACAGAACTTTAAGAAAGCTGACCAAGCTACATTATCAACTGTTTTCTATCCTCCTGGTTGGACAACTCTACTCCATCTCCAAATGCCACAATGGACAGATGAAGAACAAAGTACGCTTTTAGAGTATATATTAGATTTGAAACGAGAAAAAGCGAGAGAGAAAGAGAGAGAGAGAGAGCGAGAGAAACAACCGTTCTGTTCGGTAGAATAAGCAAATGTGAGTGAAATGCGAATTAGGTTTCACGTGAGAGTGACGTAATGTTTAACATAATATGTTTTTTTTCGTGTTCCAATTATTATTCTTAGGGACTTATCGCATAAAACTGCACAAGCTATTCAATCTACCAACGGCAGTACCTTGTCTTAGGTTAGCTCAACAAATACCTTTCGGAGGAGCTGCTTCTACAAAGTTACTTCGCTCACCTCACTTGTCAATTGTCAATTGTAAGATTTTCCCGTACTTCTTGAGTAATTTATAATGTTTAGATAAACCTTATGGTAAGGTTTCCGTACTTAGTGGGCCCTATAACTACCATCATTATATGCAGGACAATTTCGATGACTCAGGTAAATACTGCTAGGAAAATTTAACCTTTCTGTTAGGCTGGGGATGTGCTTACCGAAGCTTGCAAACAATTTGGAGCTGGTTTGCCCTGAACGGATATACTGATAAGCCTGTACCTAATCATCGTGAAATTCAACAGGTTATTTGTAATTTTTCAATGCTATGTTATTGCAAATTTAAGTGCTTGGTTAACATTGGTGATAAGCAGGAAAAGTTTGTAGGAAGCAAACAATGGATTGGAAGCACAGAGATAGGGTTTGTTTTAGACACACTGTTAGGTAATTTCTGGAAAAAACAGTACTGTTGTCTTACTATATGTCATCCTAACCCAGGTGTTGAGTCGAAATTCATTATTACCAACTCTGGAGCTGAAGTTGCTGAAAGAGCCAGAGAGTTATCGTTCCACTTTGATACTGCTGGCACGCCTGTCATGATTGGTACAACTACAGCTAAATATCTATTCAACTCTTTATTCAGGAGGAGGACAACTAGCTCATACAATTTTGGGAGTTGACTTTGACGAAAACACTGGAGATTGCCGTTTTCTAGTACTGGACCCTCACTTCACCGGTGAAGAAGATCTTCGCAAAATCATAAACAAGTATTGTGCTTGGATGCCGGCCACGTTCTGGAAAGCAGACTACTTCTATAATATGGTCTTGCCACAACCTCCCTCAAATGCTATCTAGAAAATTTCTTAATGTTATGTAAAATGCATTTTGGTTTACTCGGGATTCGAATATCCAACTTAATTTATTTTTTTAAATTTGTTTGTAATGTGCATGAAGTTTGAAAGCTGGTGTGATATGTTTTGGTTTAACCGAAGTTATAAATATTTTATTGATTATTTCTAATTCCGTTAAGTTTTGCAGAAAAAGATGGCAAATGATGCATAATGTAAACAAATATAGTCAGGTGTTAGTGTTGATGTTCTCAAATTTGGTCCTTTTGGATGTGTAATGTACTAGTATTTTTAGGATGGAATTTCGAAAAAAAGAAGTACACATACCTGAAAGCCATTATATGGTTCATGTACTATTAGGTGATAAGAGCTTAGTTAGTCGACTGTTGTGACCCACTATATAATAGCTTCAAACTTTACTGTCACATTACTCTCAAGTTGCAAACATGTTACGCTTAATTATATTCTCATTATTTTTCTACACTTGCTGTGCTAACATCTTTCGAATTCCAATCACAAGAAGAGAGAGTTTTCGTCATCGAAGAATGAGAGATGGTACTTTTAAAAAGAATGCGAAATGGAGAGCTCTGTCAGCGAGCGGGTAACTATTCCAATTGCTAAATGTATATCTCATGAATATTTAGGCCAACAGCACAAATTGTTGAGGATCACGATGATTATAGTTATATGGGAAATATCACAATAGGCAACCCACCACAGTCTTTCGCAGTGGTGCTTGACACAGGTAGAAATGTATGACGTAACTGTTTCTGAGAGAATTTATTTTAGGAAGTTCAAACTTATGGATTCCTGATAAATCAGCATGCTTTGGGGAATATAGAGATCACACTGGGGACTCAGTCAGGTTGGACACTTAATACAGTTATCTGAACATTCATCAATCATTTAAGATGTAAGTTTCCTACATTCTCTGCGAACGATTCGAAAACGTATGTGGAAGATGGACGACATTTCAAAATTAGTTATGGAACTGGATCAGCGGCTGGAACATTCGGTGTAGATACCCTATGTGTGAGTGAAAAGAACTCGTGTAGAACATATTTTTTCGTTTAAGTTTGAAGGAACTGATTTGTGTATACAAAATCAGACGTTTGGTCGAGCTACATTCATTCACCCTTATCTTCTCGATGTGGGGGTTGAAGGGATTCTTGGGCTAGCTTTTCAAGATTTAGCTGTTCTTGAAATCAAGCCACCTTTCCAGAACGCAGTGGAGAAGGTAAGAACAGAAAAACCAGAGAGAACTCACACTTTTCACTTCAAGAAGTTAGTAGACAAACCATTGTTCACTGTGTATTTGGAACATCATGAATCACTTGAAAGTCATGGAGGAGTTTTCACATATGGAGCTATCGATACAGAAAATTGTGATAAAAATATTCATTGGGAGCCACTAACACAATCCAAATACTGGCAAGTGGCTTTGAAAAGGTGATACTTACATCCCTAACAATCATATCAACCTACTCGTTTCAGAGCAAGAATAGGAAATGTAGAGCTTAAGCCAATGGATAAACCAATCTGGCAAGCAATGTCTGATACAGGTACTTCTTTTATAGGACTCCCAGATTACACCTTAGAAATGGTCGCAAAGGTACTTTCTGATTCGAGTTCCTTATCAAACATACTGTATTGTTATAGGAAGTTAATGCCACCTACGATGAAGAATATGATGCTTTTTTGGTAGATTGTGCCAAAGCCAGTGAGATTCCTCCATTAGAAATAGAAATTGGAGAAAATATATATAAAATAGAGAATTACAATCTCATTAAAAAAGTGAGTGTTCCATGACTGTTCAGATATTTGTATTGTTTAGGTGAGTGATAAGATTTGCGAGCTTTCTGTCTTCTCTCTAAGCCCGTTTACATATGGGAATGACTGGATTTTGGGCGATCCATTCATTCGACAGTATTGTAACATCCATGATGTTGCGAATAGGCGGCTAGGATTTGCAGCTTCTAAGCAGAAACCGACGACTACATAACGTCATACTATTCCAAACTTCTTGTACAGTTTTATTTATTCATACTATATATAAAGAATGAACTTTCACTTTATATCTAACGGTTGCAAACCAGAATACACATGAACGAATCGCGAGTAGTACATTTTTCGGAACGCGCTATTCTAGATGTACTTGTTCTTTAAAGCGCAGCAGGGTTGTAATTTCAAAATGGAAGGAAAAAGCTCAACAGCTCAGTAACTGACTTATCTTGAAGCTATACAATGCCATCAGACAAGTTTCTGGGGCGTATTTATGCTTAATGAGAAACAGACAGAAGTATTCATAAAAACTTGACGGCCACATCCGTCAAGTAAGGAGTTGAAAACTTCACTGCGTGATAAGAAAACAAATACTTGTCCTCTGATAAATAAAATCATTGTTCTTCATTGTTAAGATAACGCACAAAACGGATCATAACAGTGTACCTGGAATACGTTTGATCGAGTTTTGAAAAATTTGAAAAAAAACAAAACCACTCTCCGTATGCTCTGATGAGTTTGGAACCGAGTTCCGCGATTTTCAGTCGACTTTCATTTTTATAAGTCAGCTAGTCGTTTCAAATTTAGCGCGTTAATGATTAGTTGTTTTTTATATGTGTGATGTCATCAGTCGACTACATTCGACTTTCTATCGAATAACAACTTAGTCGTCGTGCACCTTCCACTCTTCATAAAAAATACGTAAAGTAACCGAAACGTGCACAATTAAATGAATGACTGAAAATCCAAACAAGGTATGACCTCAGATTATGAGGCATCTTTCAATTCAATCACTTTGTGGTTCTCGAATGTTATAGTATTTATTCTTCAGAAATGGGGTTCAACGAAGACTTTAATAGTCAGAAAGTTGGTTTCTACCAGCACAGTGGTATGAATTCAGAAGTACAACTATTCCGGGAAAATGTGGTCAACGAAATTGATGACATAGAATCCATGTTCAAAAAAAATTAAAAATAATACAAGAATAATTCCGCTTTTAGGAAGAAATGGATGTATACAGGACAACAATCACTTATGTAAAATAGACTTCTGACCCATAGACTTGTGGAAACGGAAAAAAATGAACTACCACAGCTCTATCACATAGCAACAATCCTTCTTGTAATCCCCGCTACATCTGTAGACCCCGAAGGCTTTATAGGTAGTGAGAAATTTCACAACTTATGATATATTTTACTATAATAGCGGTGCTGGTATTTTGCACTCTAATGAAGGGAGAAACCGAATTTCAGAAGAGCGTTGGAGAAATCTTCTTATTATTAATCCATCTTCAAAAAAGCGTGAATATTCGAAAGCTTATAATATACAAATTAGGAATAGAAGATACCATCGATTCAGAAGGCGAACAAGTAATAGAGTAGTATTGTTTGGATAAAGTCCTGTAGGTTCTCAAGGAGATTTTTTCATACGCATATGAGTTTAATCATAAATGATCGACTGAACGATAAAGAAAAACAACCTAGTTGGTTCTTTTAGCGCTCCACGGCTAAAAAGTTTTTTGAAAAAAAGTCGAAAAAATAGTTGTTTCAACTTAAGTTGAAACCAACTATTTTTTAGAACATCGAAATGGTTGGTAGTCTACTAAAATTGAATAACGATTTTTCCGATAACTTTAACATGGATGGAGTAAAACTAGGATCAGTAAGTCGTTTCTCTTGAATAAGGTTCTTGTTTTCATGTTCTGATAACAGAGCATTCTTTCACCGTCAAAATCTGACTCACACGAATCAATCCCGATGAACTCATCAGAAGAGGAAAGCATTACATTATTCAAGAAAGATAGTTCACTGGATGAGGAGAGTATCATAATATCCAGGCAAAAGGATTCATCGGTATGTAAGGAACTTCAGCTGGATATTCTAACTCCTCCGCCATCTCGACAATCCGGTTCAGTACGTTTTTATTCAATAAATTTGTCAATCTCTATGTTTAAGTATGATCTGAGAGTAAGGCGCAAACGTATAATTTATACTCCTTCACCAATAAAATCGTCGAAAGTGAAAAAGTACAAGAAGAAGCAGACGAAGACATCTGTAAAAAAATTTGAAATACCTCCTGTAAGTTCTTTGTTGATCATTTTATGGTTTATTTCGAAATTCAGAAGACATTTAAGCGGATAGTTCTCGACATCATGAAGGAACAATCTGTAACTAATCCAAGAATTGAGGATGATGCTATTTCAGCTCTTCAAGAGGTTGAGGTGGTTAATCCCGGATCAATTTTTTGTTTCCAGGCTTCAGAAACATTCCTGACAGAGCACTTTGTTACTTGGGGTAGGATGATGGCCTTGTCAAAAAAACAAACATTATCACCGAATATCCTAATGCTTTATAATTGTGCCAAAGTCGTTTTTTAAACTTTGGTCAGCATTTGCTCCATCGGAGCTGCTACTCCTTGCATCTAGTCATCATCATTTTTGTGATACTGATAATAGTCATATTTGAGTGTTCAGAATCTCAATTGAATGGATGTAAAATAATAGTCATGTAAATTTTTGAATGAAGCGTTTTATTTTTTTTTGAATCATTTTCATCATATTATCGCAAAACGTCGTTTTTGTTTACGTGATTGTTCAATTAGCTACTTATTAATAACTGTGTAATCTCGAGAATTGAAAAGTCTTTAGATGATTAATTATTTCATTGTGCTACTGATTCTTCACATATTTCAGGATGATTCAATAATCTAGTGAGTAATATTGGGAGCTTCGTGTCTTCTCTACTGTATCAGCTGACCGCTAACTGAAGCGGAAAGTAGCGAATGAAACTGCACAACCGGTGACAATAGAAATTTTGATTGGAATTATCTTAAGGTTATCGCGTGTTATGAGCCATCATTAAATTTTCTATTAGAAGGGAATATGAAGTGAGGTCATCAAGTGACGACTGGCAATAGCAAAATACCTATCATGAATGTCTCCGTATGTCATGAGCACTGTCTTCCACAATCTAGCTGTATGTAAAGGAGAAACTGGTAACAATTTCTATATTTTTTCTCAGCTGTACTACTCCTCTTACTTCATTCTTTTACAGTGATGTCTTTGTTTAGTCCGATATCGGTCAGAACGCTATTTGTTTTCCCTTCTCTTTTAGCTCCGTTTCTCATCATCCCTCACCTTTCTTCGCTGCGAGCCTATAACTCTATCGTTACCTTACCATTTTTGTCTTTTTCTCTATCTTCTTCAAGCATATGATAGAGCTCAACTCTCTATATGTTGGATAGTAGATTTGAAGAAAGATGAGAGTACAACCACCCCATGAAGCTGAGAGAGAAGACCGCTCGTCGGTACTAAATGTAGATATATTAAGTGCTGGTGAAAAGCTTAGTGTTGTCATTATTTGTAAAAAATTGTTTTCCTGCTATGATTGTACTAATTGTTTGCGATTATTATGTGAGGTTCACTTACCTCGCTTGATGAGAACTGATGACCTTGATTAACTCACTATTACGAATTTTTGATATCTTCTTCAATGTTCCTCTTTTGGTACAAACTTTTTTTTCTCCATTTTGCTCCTCTCTCTCTGTAGTATTATTCAGTGGAAACGCTTTTCTTATACATTTGTTGAAGTTTGCTCGCTTTTTGAACTTTTCAGTCTGCTTGATCTCTTCCAGGGTTTCTGTCCATATGATATTATTTCTTCCAAACCTTGTGTTCTGAGAACGTTTGAAAACGTTGTCGGGTTTTCAAAAAAAAAACTAAATCAGTAGTACGAAGAGGAATTTGAGAGTTGATAGTAGATATTAGATTGTAGAATAGATATAATCATACAAGTATGATAAACAAGAAATAATTTGACTGTATTTGCGATAACCATGGATATTCTCTAGCAATATCTTCTTTTGATTATTCTGATAAGGTCAACTATATCACTCAAACCAACTATTCACTCATTTCATCTGCCTTGACCCGGTACTGTACGACTTCCCAGTTTCTGACGTTCAACTTTTTTTATGATTATTTACGAACTGTCATGCTATATTCTGATATATATATTCTCGTGACAGTTTTAATCATTTAGAGTGGATTTTAAAAAGTGAATTATAAAATTACTTTCTTTCAAGAAGCCGGGTTTTTGGCATAATGTCAATAAATATTCTTCACTGGTCAACGGGTCAAACAGTTAGGTGTTTGTTTGCTTTCCAATAATTTGCTCTCTTTTGCTCCATCTCGATCAATCTAGTAGCCATTTTCCTTGTAAAAAGAATCGTCTGTCTCTATTTTTTATTTATTCTGTTTTTTTTGAACGTAAATACCTTTCTCGTGTCTTTCGATTAGCCTACAGCACCGAAACTCCCCCAGCCTCAGGTCATACTCTCCGAGTGGAATGCATTTTCAGAAAATACTAAGAGTTATATACTTCTTACCTTTTTTTCCTGTTTTACAAACTGAGAATTAATTGATGTAGAGACTTTATAAGTTTACTTTCACAATTGGCTCTCTATTTATTTGCCTCAACGACATTGAGCGTCATCCTCCTCTATCCATCTTTTCCTCATACCAAACAGAGAGTAAGAAAGCTTCTCCTCTCTTTCATTTTTTCTTTGTTAAATTTTCAAATTTTTGATCCCTCTATCTTTTTTCTTTTTATTTGCCTCTTCTTCCCTCGTTCTCTTTTACATCGAATAACTGTTTTCGCCTTTATTGAACTGTTTGCATGTTTTATCTGAAGTTATAATCGCATGTTCTCGAAAATTAAGTAGAACATGGCACATTTAATTTTGCATAGTTTATAACTTAACGATACTTCTACGTATATATTGAAAGATAATCATATTCTTCATACACATAGCTCCAACTATGTATCTCATAACAAACGCAATCGACTTTTAACCTTCCTAATCTCACTGTCTCCAAATCTTCATGAAGCATTACTAAACCATCTTACATACTCAGTGCTTTATCGAACTCACCATCAACAATATATCTGTTCGCTCTACTTGTTCATTTTGTTATCCAACTTATCGCTGTATTCTTTTTTCTTTTTTTAAGCAGAATTGTTGTTCTACTATTAACATAACTCTTTACAGATTAACAGAACGGCATTCAAAATGCCTTGGAGAGGAGGGCTGTTGCTCCTCTCCTTAATATTTCAAGTAATACATACGTTCTATGTTTCTTAATTTATGATCTTTTCTTAAGAATGTTCTGAGTGAAGAGTTCCATGTTGGCAACGGATCTTCAGCTTTATTAAGTGATGTGGAATTGAAATGTCCCGAAGGATGGCAATTAATTAATCTGAAATGTTTCATGATCTATCAAATTGAGAAAAGTTGGCCTCAAGCTTTATCCACTTGTTCTCGGTATTATCTTTGAAATTTATCTTGTTAAACTTGTTATTTGAGATATGGAGCTCATTTGGCTCGAATCGAGTCTGGACCTGAGAATGACTTTGTTGCAAACATGGTGTCTAAGCCCGGCAGACCAGGAATTCATCCAGAGTACTGGATCGGGTTAACCGCTGATGTAGATCCAGCTTCCACAGATCCTACTTATCTCTGGTCCGACGGAGTTCCTACCAGCAGATATGTAGGATTTTGGGAGGCCAGTCAACCTGATCATCTCAAAGGAACCTGCGCTGTGGTAAGTTATTTTGGTTTCGCTTTTAAATTTGAACATTATAACGTCATTAGCATCCTGTACGTGAGCAACGCTCACGTAGATCAAATACGCTAATTTGCATTAGCATTGCTTTCAACCCAACTACAATAGTGAACTATTTATCGATTTTACGGTCAAACGTTTTTAGGTGTCATTGGATAAGAACAATTTGAAATGGAGATTAGATCAATGCAATCTGTTAAGAAGTTTCATATGCGAAATTCCGGCTTGTATCAAAGGTTTCTTTCCACAACTTTTCTTTTTTTAAGTCAAAATATCTTAAGGAACTTTCTTCTGTGCAACAGGACAATGCATTCCTGAATCAGAACATTGTAATGGAGTTAACAACTGTGGTGATTACAGTGATGAACTTAACTGCCCTTGTATGTTAAATCTATACTGATGAGTTAAAAATTTATTGATTTAGCTTCTCACTCCGATTTGGCTTGTCTTCAATACACCAAAGGAGAATCTGGAAAGTTTAGTTCACCTGGATATCCTTCATCTTATAAGGGCAACTCAAACTGTCGTTGGATGATCGAGGGTCCCATCAATAGCAGAATACAAGTATGTGTTTATGTTTTGAAAATCATACGATTCTTCGTTCTAGTTAACATTTGACTATTTTGAAACGGAAGAAAAAGTGGATATTGTAACAGTTCTTGATGGAGGTCCACAAACTAACTCTACGACAGGTATGAAATGTGTCGAATTAATCAGTCGAATATTGAATTTTAAGTTCTGGGAATTTTCTCTGGTTCTCATGAATCCGTAACAGTTACATCGGCTACAAATATGATTATTGTCCAATTTCGAAGTGACAATACAATCAACTCGAGAGGATTTCAAGCAACTTGGAAAACAGGTATCTATTACTCTTCACAAATATGTAAATGACGATAATGTGAGTGGGTAGTGTTAAGCTTTGTTGTTTAATCTGTCATTAGATGTTTAATCTTCATCGATTTGTGTTAGAATTGTGATGATTTTATCCTTATTTACGGAACTGATTTGATGTTCTTCAAAGAGGATCGTATAGAGAGCGTAGTTAGAGAGAAATAAGCAGATATTACAAGTGAGCCGGAAGTATTTGTTTTATAAACTCACTTCATAGACATTCGTAACCTACTTCCCCATTACAATTTATTGTTTGGTAATGATTTTATCAACATAATTACGCAGCTGAAGTATAATGTGACTGAAGGTTGAAACGCCTGAAGCAGTGTTGAAAACTTTGACGAATTAGTTCAAGTTCTTTCATTGTGTTTGTTTTAAGCTCGAAGATGTGTTCAAAGAAGTGAAAATAACATCACAAGAAAGGAAATGAGCGTAATTTCGTTAAAGAGAATTATAGAAAGCCGACTGTGTGATTTGTAGCCCTTCTCAATTAGATCCACTTGAAAGTTCTAAAGTGACAAATATGCTTTGAAAGGCCGAAGGCAATGTATTGAGTATTTGTCTATTTATGTATGTCTGTGTAGGGATGAGATAAAAGAGAAAAGTATCTTGTTACTTTATGAAAATTCAATTTCGGCTTTTCAGTTTCCTTCCAGTGTGGAGGAAGTTTGATAGCACAGTCATATGGACAGACGTTAACCTCTCCGGGGTATCCACAATCATATGCTAATGCAGCAGAATGCGTATGGACAATCCAATCATTGAGTCCAGGAAGTTTGATTACTCTGAGTGTAAGCATTTATGCTTTGAAATGGATAGATCTTTCTTACTTCAGATAGAAGACATCAATTTCTCCGATACCGATAGACTCATTATCTATGACGGAAATAACCCATCTTCACCCGTTTTATCTACGTGAGAACGTTGATGTTATAATTTCTTCATAATGATTTAATTAAAGGGTATCCGGAAATCATTCCAGTACGGAATATGTCATTAGTACTTCTGACAGTCTATACATTTACATGATAACCAACCAAATGGGAAATGGCAGAGGCTTCTCTCTAGGCTACAAGAAAGGTAAAACAACTTTGGAATTTGTTTTAACAGTTCCTTTGATTTGTAGGATGCGATGTTGTTCTTCGTCAATCGCATGGGAACATTTTGTCTCCAGGAAACACAATAGTTCCTTATCCTAATTCTCAAAAGGTTTTTTCCTACTGCATTTTATAATTGATACTATTTCTTTTAGTGTACATACTCAATCGAAATGCCAGAAGGCAATACTGATCAGTCATTCACGATACTAGTGAATCGTTTCGATTTGGGTTCTTTGGACTTCCTGAAGGTTTGAATTCAAAAATTTGTTCATCGTTTTCAATGTCCTGTCTTCAAGGTTTTCGAAGGCACTGTAAAAGGAAGACCTTTACATGATGGCATCGGTTTTAGTAATGATCAAAAGCCAGAGGAGCTATTGCAATGTCGTCAATCAAAAGCTTTCTTAGTTTTCGAAAGTAACTCTGTCAAGAATGGATTTGGATTCAATTTGACATTCAGTTCAAGTAAATTTTAAAGATTTTTAAAAATTTGCTTTTTAATCAAACTTAAGACTGTCCTGCAATTAAAACTCCTTCCCATGTAACACTTTCGACAAAGCAAACATCGTTCGGAACAAAAGTAGTTGCCTGATGCATTTTATAGTATTCACAGTTGTATTTAAGGTTTCCATTCAATGTCCTAAAGGTTATGAGTTCATCAATGGGCGTGGAACCTCTATGGAAGTTCTATGTCTAGCGGGAGGAAATTGGACTGAATCTTATGTACCTGCGTGCCAACGTAGTTTAAAGCCAGATGAACTGTGAAAATTTTTTTTTCAGCTGTATATTGCTCTGCCATTCCCCAAATATCTAACGGTTATGCAGTTTCCGCGTCTAACGTGTCGTATAGGGGACAAGTTGAGTATTCTTGTCATGAAGGCTTCTCATTTTCTTCTGGAAAAACGATTGAAGAAGTATATTGCTCTGAGAATGGAGAATGGAGCAAAGTTCCACTCTGTCGAGCAGCTACTTGTGCGGCTTTGCCACCGTTTGCCAACGGCGAAAAGCATTTACAATTCGGAGACGGAACTGGATTCGGTAACATAAATTTAAATATATAATGATATCATTGATAAAAACAGGCACTGTTTACCATTTTACATGTTTGGCTGGATATCATATTGAAGGAATCCCTACAATTCTCTGTCAGTCAGATGGGCAGTGGTCATTTGAACAGCCAGTATGCAAAAGTATAGTTTTGAATCTCTGTCACATTTGATATGTCTCTTTATCTTCAGAGCTATACTGTACCGATATACCAACTGTGAAGAATGGTCGGCTTGTCACGCCTGAAGTTTTTCGCTTCGGGGATGTAGCTAAAGTTGTTTGTGAAGATGGCTTTCGAGTAGAGGGAGTAGATGAGGTCAAATGTTTGGCTAATCAAACTGTCAGCCATGTATCTTCCTGTCGGGATGTTAATGAGTGCTCTGAAGGCTTAGCTAAGTGTCAAGGTCCTTCCACCAGCTGCGTGAATTTACCAGGGGGATACTCATGTGATTGCTTAGAGGGTTATCAACCTCAATTAAGTAAGTTAAAGGCTTTCTATTTTTATACTTTTCTGAATTTTCAGTGTGCACCAAAGCCTATGCGCTCAATCCTATTTCAGTCACCTCCTCGTCTGATATGATTTCTCAGAAATCTCCTAGAGGATGGTGTTCATCAACTTTAGATCCTCTGAAAGCGATTACTTTGCATTTCAGCGTAGCTAAAGTTATTGAGAAGATAAGGTTCTAACTACAAGTCCTAAATCTGAATCACTTTCATTTATCTTGTAGATTCAATCGAACTGTATCGGGAAATACTCTCTCCGTTCGTATCCGATATAACAGTGAAGAAGGAAAACCCTTGCAGCAATTAGCCGTCGATGGGAATGATGTGAGAAAATAAGTACATATGTGTATTGTAACTTCAATCTAGGTTTTTGATTTACAAGATAGTACATTCTTCGATGGAGATTTTTTGGTTCTCCCATACTCGGTTGAAGCCCGAGTGTTGGAAATTTCCATAGTGCACTATGAGAATGAGCCATGCTTCACGGTATTTTATATATTAGCATTATCACTTACACCATAATTATTAGGCCGATGTTTTCGGTTGCCAGAAGTACAGCTGTGTGGATAAAAATGAATGTATGAAAGATAACGGTGGTTGTGAACATATTTGTGTAAATAATCAGGGTTCTTATAAGGTTTAGAAATACCAAAAATCAAAAAATAATATAGAATTTATAGTGCGCTTGCCGTGATGGCTTCGATTTGTTTGTGACTAATGGTCAGAGTGGATTTTGGCTGGAAGAGGACGACACTGGATCTGACATTTTAGATAGCTTGAAGTAAGATTGGCAACAGCAGTCTTTAAATATAATGTTCTTTAAGTTTTAACAAATCTTGCATCGCTCGTACATGCCCATTGGTGGAATCTCCAGAAAATGGATTGTTGCTATCAACATTGAGCGCTTTCCGTTTTCCGGTTGTTGTTCAATTTGCTTGTGATTTCGGATACCAAATGATGGGACCAGATTACATTCAATGTTTGGCTGATGGTACATGGAATGGAACAACACCTTTCTGCCTACGTATATTTGGAATTGTTGAATTTTTATGAAGTTTAAACTTTTAGCTGCTACTTGTCAAGGAGTTGAAAACAACACAGATATTGGACTTGTAGTTTCGACTGGTAATACTACAATTGCTTATGGAGAGTCCATCGTATTGAGCTGTATTCAACGAGATCGGCCAGGTATTTGTATCCTTTTTTCTTTCTCAACTCAACGTTTACTTCAGCAAAGAAGACACCCTTAGCTACATCTCGAGAATGCATTTATGACCCGAAGCCTGATGGACGAGATTACTGGCTCTCTGGGCCAATGGCTGACTGCCCTCTTATAACCTGCCCTCCTCTGCCCGTAATGGCTGGAGTAGAATACTTAGGAGACACATCCAATGTTCAGGTAGTTTTTTTCATATTTATATGGATTGTTCAACTTCTCTTTCAGGTTGGTTCCGTTTTGGAGTTCTCTTGCCGAGCTCCTTATACTATGGTTGGATCATCATCTGAAGGGGATCCTATCGTTCGATGTGGCTTAGATGGCGCTTGGGATTTGGGAGATTTGCGTTGTGAAGGTAAAATGACTATGTCGTAATTGTGGAAGAACAGAATATTTCAGGCCCTGTTTGTGTAGATCCCGGTTTTCCCGCTGATGGCAGTATCCATCTTGAAAGTGTAGAAGAGGGTTCGGTGGCCATGTTCTCTTGCCGAAGACCCGGATTTGTTCCATTCCCTTCTCCTGCTATTCAATGTATACTCGGATCAGCTTGCGCTCTCTCTGAAGATGTGGGCATCTCTTCGGGATTTATTCCTGACGCCGCCTTCGCTGATAACGCTGACATCAGTATCCCTGGTTATGAGCCATCTAAATCGAGGATGTCCTCTACGGGCTGGTGTGGAACAAAAGATGCTTTTATATTCCTTAGCGTGGATCTCATGAAGTGGGAATTGTTGTAACTTCACGAATAATATTATTGCTTCAGAGTTCATACTCTGACAACATTACGAATCGCAGGTGTTGCGGGATCTGGAAGTTTGAAAGGCCATGTTACAAAAATGCAACTGTTCTACAAGTCAATGTTCAATCAAAGCTATGACACCTACCCTGTTGTGAGTAATACATTTTCCAGTCGCTAATGGATTTAATCATTTCAGGAATTTGAAACACCTTCCGGAAATCACAATGCTATGCATCAGTTTGAACTGGATCCTCCTTTGAGGTATACAATCAGTAAAATTTTCTCAACTTTATTTGATATTATAGAGCTCGATACATTCTTTTTGGAGTCGCAGAGTATGAAGGAAACCCATGTATTCGTTTCGATTTACAAGGTTGTCTTGCTCCTGCTTCTGTTAGCCGTGATACACCCACTCATCTACAGGTAAACTGAAACTGAAGTTCTGTTCTATTTTTTTTACAGGTTGGTTGGAACGCGTCTGTGCCACAGTGTGTTGATGCTGAGCCTCCTAAATTCGTAAATTGTCCCTCCTCTCCCATATTCATCGAAACAGATGACAATGGTCAATTGAAACCTACAAACTATCATGTACCTAGAGCAGAAGATAACAGTGGCAGAGTGAGCTTTATCGAAAATCATGATAATTACTGTTTTGAAATCAGATTGCTTACATGCGCCTTGAGCCAGTTGATTTTCATCCTGGAAAACCAATATTTGTTAACACAGATGTAGTGTATACAGCGTTTGACGATGCCGGAAATCTCGCAGATTGCGTGATAAAGCTCCGAATTCCAGGTTTTCTAGACAATTTTGTATTTCATTCAATGTTTCTTACAGATACTATTCCTCCTGTCTTGAAATGTCCTGATTCTTACTCAATACCTGCCAAAGAGCCTCAAATAGTGTTGAACTTCAACCAGAGCACAGTTCCTATGGTTATACAGGATGTCTCTAATATTACCGAAGTTATTTTCTCTCCTGCAACTTCAAAGTTGAGAGTTGGTGAATACGTTGATGTTGAAGTAACTGCGACAGACGCTTTTTCGAATAGAAACAAATGTCGTTTCCAAGTTTCTTACATGCGTAAGTACCTTGAAGTATACCTATTTGAATACATCAAACTTTGTAGACGAAACCTGTTCGACGGAGTCTTTGATTGTATCATCTGACGCAGTAAGAACTTGTGCTCAAAAGGATGATGATCTTGTATGTAGCGTAACATGCCCTGCAGGTCATCGGTTTGTTGACTCGGATAATGTAATTTTCAACATTATTGAACATTATTTTATAAAAAAATATTTTTAGAATAGTACAACATTTATATGTTCCGCAGGGAGATGGTCACCTAGTGGGGTTGCCCCTTCATGTATTCCCAATGGTTAGTTTTTAAGAGCATGTGTATACTGGAATAATCTTCAATATCTCAATTATTTCAGCGGAAGAGCCAGCTCGTTATGAATTAAACGTGGCAATACGATATCCAAGCACAGCTGAAGTTCCTGATCATTGTCTTCAGGGATTCTCGTCCTTATTATCACGATCATATGAAGATCTTGATCGTGTTTTATCGCAACGCTGCTCAAGCTCCGTCCAGGTGTATGTCCGTTTCTTACAATCAACATTTGTGAATGATAATGGAATGGTTCGGTTGTTTCAAAATCTGAAGTGTATAGAGAAAAATTAAGGTTGTTGGTAACTATACAATACAAATCCTTCCCACCGTGCTTCAAAATGTTTTCTATGACTTATGTGGCTTAACTCTGAGAACAATTTTTGATCTGAATATACCAGGTAATAGAGTGATGTACAATACAATAATAAAAATATTGTTTAGGCGCAACAGTTCCCGTTAAAAGTTTGTTGACTCTTGCTGGAGAATCTGTTCCGTCGCAAGGATTGGGGTGCCCTACACTCATTGCGTCCAAGTAAGAAAAAACTCTGCTTTCAGTTGCAATTGCTGTTTCAGATCTTATATATCACAAGGTTTTGGATGTAACGAAGGTGAAGTTCTACGGCAACCTAAACCCGAACAGCTGCCAGAGTGTTGTAAGTACTTTTGTATCCCTCCAAAAAGAAAAAAAACGTTCTAGTACCTTGCCCTGTCGGAACGGTTAATGTGAACAACAGCTGTGTATCATGTCCCTTAGGCTCATATCAGAATGAGAAAGGTCAATTAGCTTGTAAAGCTTGTCCTGATGGAACTTATACTCTATACACTGCTACGTTCAGGAAAGAGGATTGTTTAGGTATCAATCATCAGAACAGTAAGATAAAGAAACCAATGTTATTTTCAGCGATATGTGGAAATGGAATGTACAGTGAAACTGGGTTGGTTCCTTGCCAGCTATGTCCACGTCACACTTTCTCTGGTCCTCCAATCACAGGTACATGAAAATGTATAAGAACAGAACTTACTTGTTCAGGTGGTTTCAAACAATGTGAATCGTGTCCATCGGGAACGTACACCAGTAAACTAGGATCGTCTGGTCCCTCACAATGCAAGCAGCCCTGCGCACCAGGGACATTCAGTATAACTGGATTGGAACCGTGCTCAAATTGTCCGTTCAATTATTATCAGCCGTCTGTTGGCCAACAAAGGTTGCATATCGTAGAGAACAAAATATTCATTCTCCTTCTTAGGTGCTTGGAATGTTCTAATGACACTGCTACGTTCGCAGAGGGCTCCACTCTGGAAACCTCTTGTGTTTCGATTAAATGCTCAGACATGAAATGTGAAAACAAGGTTTACTTTTCTGCTTTTTAAAAATAAAAAAGGATTTTTGCAGGCTGATTGTACCATTCGCGATCATAGAGGTTTATGTGAATGTAAACCAGGCTACAAAGGAGAGAGATGTGAACAACTCGATGACATTTGTGTAACTCAACCTTGCCATAACGGAGGGTACTGTGAAGTTGTAGCAGGTTCCTACCGTTGTGTATGCCCAAGAAGTATTTTTTCATTGCTTAATTTCGTTGATGAAGTATATTATATTAAGATTATTCGGGAGCGCGATGTCAATTCGGCCCTGATGAATGCGCTGGTAAATCATGCCCCAATGGAGGAGTATGCCATGATTTGCCAGGATTAAAATCAACTAAATGTCTTTGTCGGTTAGTTTATTTTGCACTAATTTCATGAGAAAGAGTTGAATATAACAAAATAACTTTTAAGCACTGGTTTTTCCGGACCACACTGTCAAGAAATACAAGATATTTGTTCTTCATCAAACCCTTGCAAAAATGGAGCTAATTGTGTACCTAGCAAGCTTGGCAGATACAAATGTCACTGTTTACCAGGATGGGAAGGAGAAACTTGTGATAAGAATATAGGTTAGTTCATATTTTGAGGTGAATAGTTGGGTATTCACTCTCTTCCTCGTAGAGCGTTCAATAGGGTTGTCATGAAGTATTTAGCTGTTTTTGGGAAGCAACAGCTAAATGAAAGCAAATGAGACTTATGAGGCCATGAGTTCAGAATGACTTACTAACGTAACACGTCGTGCTATGCTGCAAGCTTGTTTTAGGCTTTGTTATTATGGGAAAAGGGAAAAAGAATAACTAAGCTCTCTTCTCAAGTGATATGGGCTGTATTCAGTGTTTATAATCTGGATTAAATGGTGGCTGGTGCGGGGCTGTTGCTTCGTTCTGGGGTACCCTTTCGAAGTGGGCTAGAGACTGATAAAACTTCCGTGTTAGGAGCAATTCAAAAACGCTGCAACTTTCGAGTGTACTGTTTGAAAATTATGAAAATGTTACCTGTATAAGAAAAATGTGAGCGTCAAAAGCAAAAATGCGAAAGCGTATAGTTTGAGTTCTCCTAGAATCTCTGCACGTTCCTTATCATTGACTGCTCCGAAAAACCACTAAACCTCTGATATTTATAGTATACTATATAGTAATCATACTTCGTATGCTTTCAAGAAGAAATTGTTCATAGAGGTGTGAGCGCCGAAGAAATAGATGAGTACTATCAAGCATGCTATTAGAGCTATAATTGTGAGTCCGAGCAGCAAAGTCAACCTTGATGAACAGTATAAGTGTTAGAGTGAAAGGAAATACCTTGGATAGCAATAGCGACGATTATTTTTCTTATGTGCTTGAATGATAAATACCGTACCTAGTACCTGGCAAACCAAAAACGCAAAGAAAAACAGGAAGGCGGCAACGCTGAACCACTCTCTGAAAGCTCTTGTGTTTAATCTTTAGAATGTGCTGTTCTTTGTAATGATTAATATTCTTCAAAAGCTCGAAAGCGATTCTCATTATGTGAGAGTATAATTACCATCCAATATGGCAATAATTTCTAATTTCATGACAGATTGTCGCCTTTCAGCGTATGTCCATTTTCATAACCAATACGCTCTATTTATCATGCACTGCCTAAGCCTGCAAGCCTAATGTAGGTCAATTCAGAGTTCAAAAGTGAATTATTTGCTCGGAGTTATTAAAATGCGGGTAGGGGTAACAAAAGTGTTTACATCTCTTTAAAACAACAAGATTTACGAGTGATTTCCCTTTCAATGGTTTATAAGACTACAGACTATGAAATAGACTTGTGTAGACTTCATACAGTTTTCTTTTCCATAGTTTTTGAAGAGGCTTCGATTTGTTGTAAACGCTCAGAACGGTTGTGTGTACACCTTCAGTACGGTTGGACTGTTGGCAGATGGAAAGAACAATTTTAGATGACAGAGCATCAAGAAAAAGCTTGAACCAGAATTAAATTTAAGAGAAACTGCTCAATGTGGTTTTCCTTCTCTTATCTGGTATAGACTAAGCGATTCTTATTCAATTAGACTTTCTCACTTGTTTCCGGCTATTCTCTATTCGTTCACTAATTCTGCAGACATTGCATTGATTTTCAATATTTCTTCTTTCTAACCCCATAAGGAATAAAAAAGAGGAGCAGATTAAGAGCTAACGCGTGGAGCATAAAAAAACTTACGGCTCATAGAATGTACTAAACAAAGTGTTTCCAAATTTGTAGGTTACATAAGCAACAATCAAAGTATCCAAACACGAAAGAGCCTGCAAATATCAACTCATACTTATGTTCATATATGCATATCTAGTTATCTCTTTTTTTTATTGGTAATTGAATCGATAATTTTGCTGGTTATATTGAGTTAAGCAAACCAGCAGACTACACAATCATAAATGATTCTGGACAAGAGTTAAAAAGAGAGTTAGATCGATTTTTTTTTCTTCAGAGCCAGAACCAGCTGTCTGGGCTTTGAAATGGCTTGTTGTTTCGAGTTTATTCAATATTCCGCGAGGGTTTCATAACTTGAACTCATGAGAAGTTATCAACAGAATTTGACTCACTATACGATTTCAAAACTTTCATGATAACGTTATAGCTTACCGTGACGCATTTATGAACTGGCCAACAACAACAGCAGGTGATCATTCTAGCTCGGAATGCTTTAGGCAGAGGAAATCGATCGAGACACTGGGCAAAACAGGAGGTGCTCGATTGTGAGCCCAAAATGGAATGGCTTCGCGGAGGGGTGGAGACACTCTCGTTACCAGAAAAAACCAGAGGGCGAGATTGTTGATGAAGGCAACATTGGTGGGCATCAGCCAAGCTATCAGGCATATGAGAAATTTATAAGCAAGAAAAGATTGGGGAAATTTGATTGTAGAGGCCGAAAATTACTTGCGGAGTAGACAAGTAATTATCACATTGAACAGTGTCAAAGTAAAAATATTTTTTTGAGAATATGTTCACAACATAAGAACTGAATGATAAAGAGTTGTAAATTACAGATGATTGTGCGGTGTCGCCGTGTGCGTTGAACGCAACATGTGTCGATCTGGTGAATGATTTTGAGTGCACTTGCCCTTCAGGTTTTACCGGAAAACGATGTCAGACCAAAGGTAAATGCCGTTATCTTTCAAATCGTCACTATATTCCTTTCTAGAAAACCTCTGTAAGACGAATTCCTGCGAGCATGGAATTTGTGTAGACACATTGTTCGAACAGAAATGTATCTGTGAAGAAGGATGGGCTGGAGAGAGGTATAAACTCTTCATGTTCTACAATAGAGATATTTGGTTCCAGATGTGATTCAGCGGAAAACAAATGTGCTGAAGACCCATGCAGGAACGGCGGAAAGTGTATACGACAGGTGAGCAATTTTAACCAACAAAAAAATCGCGAGATACTCTCCATTACAGATTACTTCTTATAAATGTGAATGTAGTGCTGGATACTTTGGGAAAAACTGTCAGCATTTGGTTGATCATTGTATCTCTAGCCCTTGTAGTAACAATGGTCAGTAGCCAAGTTTGAAATGCACAACTAAATAAATTGGTTTAGGCACTTGTACAAATCTGGGGCCTTCCTACGTTTGTACCTGCCCATTGGGTTACGAAGGCGTACATTGCGAACATAATATTGACGAATGTAAATATAATAAATGTAATGAAGTAGGAACACAGGTACATATAAATATACATTGTTTCGCTAGTAATATATTTATTAAATTCTAGAACTGTGAAGATGGTATCAATAGTTTCTCATGCATCTGCAAACCTGGCTATGAAGGTTCTTACTGTGAGCAGAAGATCGATCAGGTAAGCTAGATTGAGATAATTTGGTTAAATATGGAACATTGCTGTAGTGTAAGTCTTCACCATGCCGAAATAACGGTTCATGTGTTGATGTGGGAGCATCATTCCAATGTAATTGCGCTGAGGGTTGGACTGGACAACGGTTTGAACAGTAAAGAAGGTTTTCTGATGTCTCATACTTCTATAGATGTGAAAAACAAGCAAGTGTTTGTATGAACAATCCCTGTCATAATAACGGTCATTGTGTTCCGACTTCGAGTGGATATTTCTGTGTCTGTCCTGAAGGTATCTTTTTCCGTTCTGCTGAATTCATTTTCTGATACAGGAGTGAGTGGAAAAGATTGTGAAGTAGCACCAAACCGCTGTATGGGAGAGCCTTGCCTTAATGGTGGAGTATGTGGTGATTTCGGTTCCAGATTACAATGCACCTGCAACAAAAGTTACCGAGGGGATGGTAATTATCTATTGATTAATTTGTATCTAGTTGCATTCTTCAATAGGTTGTCAGTACATCAAAGACTTGTGTGGACCTGATACTTGTCAAAATGGTGGATCATGCTTCGTTGAAAACGGAAAGTTCAATTGTCTCTGTCCTTCAGGTTTGTAATGATTACATGGAAAAAATTAAACTGTTGTTTGTAGGTTTCACAGGAGAACACTGTGAAACAAACATCAATGATTGTCTGACATCACCTTGTCCAGTTAACTCACAGTGCATCGATCAGATTAATGGAGTTTACTGTCGATGCCCATTCAACAAAATGGGCTCGAGTTGCGAAAAGGTATTAAAATACATTATATAGGGCGCAAAACAGTTTTCTTAAGGATATTGATGAGGACTATGATTTCCATTTCTATGACAGCTTAAGACCTGCAGTCGTTTCGACTGCACTTCCCTTTTCATTAACAGGCTCAGAGTTCACTCTATCATTCTGGGTTCGTTTCGACAACGAGCAAGGCAAAGGAGATGTCCTTACACTATATAACAGCAGGCAAGAAGAGAAAAAATGAGAAAAAGCTTAACTATTGCATTATTTAGTCATTCGAACTATTCCCTAGATCCTGTCTCTCTATTGGAAGTGAATGATGAAGGCTTCACGTTAAACCTTTTCGCTGATAAACCAACACTACATCTGCACTTCCCTACTTCGCAAAGAGTTAATAATGGCCGATGGAATCATCTTGTAATATTATGAGTCAGATTGTGGAATTCATTACGCGCTTTCTAGGTGTTCATGTGGTCTTCACATCACGGCTCATACTCTTTAATCTGGAACTCAATTCGTTTGTTTGATGACAGCGGTTATGGAGTAGGCAAGCAATTGAATATCAAGTAATTGAAAGTTAATCTATATCATCTCAACGTTTTTTAAGTGCTATCATATCTCTCGGATCAGATATGACACCCTTGGAAGGCTCAATTACGCGTGTGCATATGTGGGATCGAGTAATCAGTTTCGAAGACGAAGTTCCCATTCTCGCTACTAGTTGTCAAGAGTCGGAGGTTTGAATTAAAATACAAATGAAATGAAGTTTTTGAATTTAGCCGAGCCTGAAAAATTTGTTGGTTAGATTCTCAGGATACACCGTCATCAAAGGAAAGGTAGAACGATTATCTAGGAGCACCTGCGGTCGAGAAAATGTTAAACTTCAAGAAGAAAGTGAGATAATCGTGGAGGTTTGTTCACTCTGGATAAATATATACGCTAGCCTTTCTCAGAATTGTCCACCAGATCAATATCTCTTAACTTCTCAACGGGAAATAAATGTCACTTGGCAGGAGCCTATGTTTTTGTCGAGAAAATCCCTGATTAAAATAGAAAAAAACTTGAAGCCTGGACAGGTAGCTATAGTACTACTAGTTTAATAAAGAAAACTTTTCGGTTATAGATTTTGACTTGGGGAGAATACGATGTTCTATATGTCGCATACGATAATGCATCAAGATCTTCGAGATGTAGCTTTAAGGTTCACTTTATTATCTCCAACAACCCCTCATATTTCTCTTAAGATTATTGTGGCCAAGGAGCATTGCCCCGTTTTGCAGGAGCCGATTAATGGAATTCAAGCTTGTGAAGCATGGGGTCCACAGCTTCGTTATAAAGCATGCTCTATTGAATGTCGTGACGGGTTTGAGTTCTCTCGCCCTCCTTCTTACTTCTACACATGTTCTTCTGATGGAGAATGGAGACCAAGGCAAGACAATAAGATTATGTTCCGTTATCCACAATGCACAAAGTACGTTTTGTAACAAATTTCTAGAAAAGAATTGCCAATTCAGAACTATTCCTGCTACGAGAGTCGTTGTCATTAAGTTAGCATATCCAGCTACAACTATGTGCTCTGATGCCAGTAAGACAGCTCTCCGCTCAAAGTTAATGGATGCGATCAATGAAATTAACAGAAAGTGGACTATATGCAGTGCAATGTAAGTTGCACTTACCTCTTTTTTAAAACTGTTTCGTGTTTTCTTAGGGAAGCCAATGAATGCATTGGTGTTCGCATCGATATTGAATGTGTTTCTGACGTATCTCGAACCAAACGGGAAGCTCATTCATTCAGAATCCGTGTGGAACTGCCAGTGAAGAGGTGAGTTGCTTTTCAGCAATTCAACGAAACCTCATTGAGAGCTCTGATAAATTGTCTCCTATTTCAGAACCCTTGTTGTTGATTCGGTTTCTGGTCAGAAATTAGCTGTGGCCGATGTGCTGCAAGACGCTATTTTGACGAATGGTGCTTTCAACATGGAAAAGGTTTGCTTGAGAAATTGATCCTTTCAAAGTTTCAGTCCTGTTCCAGGTTTTACCAAACGGACGTCCTGACTTGAATACTTTCCAACTTTTGGACCAGTTCCACTGTCAGCCAGGCCAAATCCCGGTGGATGATGTTTGCGGTAATCATATACATACATGCGTTTTTGATTATTGAAAAAAATTCAGTGCCTTGTGCTCCTGGAACGTACTATTCCGCCAGCAGTTCTGAATGTGAACCATGCGCCGAAGGAACTTATCAGCCATTGTCTGGACGATCCCAGTGCTTCACATGCCCCTCGAACCAAGTAACGGCAGGAATGGGAGCAATATCAGAGGATGAATGTAAAGGTAAAGAGTGTGCTATCAACTTATCGTTTTTAACAAAACATGTTCAGACAACTGTAAACCAGGTCATTACCTAGACTTGACGACGTCAAAGTGTACAGCCTGCGGACTAGGTTTCTATCAACCTAAGTCTGGTTCATTCAAATGCATTTCTTGTGGAATCGGGAAGATAACTTTATCAAATTCGTCTACAACGGAAGAACAATGCAAAGATGAATGTCCAGGTTTGAAATAATCTATCAGTGGCTCAGCGTAAACGATGATTCTAGATGGGGAGCAACTCTCTATGTCTGGAGTATGTCAACCATGTGCCTTCGGTTTTTACCGCAGCCGTGGCGAGAATAAACAATGCGTGCAATGCCCTCCTGGAACTACTACTGAAACAACCTCGTCTACTCGGAGAGAACAATGTAATACACCATTGTGTCGTCCCGGACAATATCTAGTGAAAGAAACGTAAAGAATCCCCTATCCAGATAACTTAATCGTTTATCATTTGCAGAAAGCATTGTCAGTTCTGTCAACGTGGAACTTTCCAAGATGTTGAACAGCAAACAAGTTGTAAGCTCTGTCCTGTTGATCATACAACAGCAGCAGAAGGTTCTCATAGTGTATTTATTGCTTAACAACTAATCGTTTTGCAGGAGCAACGGCTGAATCTCAATGCTATAACACGAATCAATGTACGACCGGAGAGGATGATTGCTCGTGGCATGCCTTATGTATTGATTTACCTGATCAGAACGATATTCCCTCATATGAGTGTAAATGTAAACCCGGCTACATTGGAAATGGAACTTATTGTAAAGGTTGGCCCGTTTTCTAGAAAAAGATGTTATCACAATTAAATTATTTACAGATGCCTGCAATAATTTCTGTTTGAATGATGGGGTATGCAAGAAAAATCCAGTTGGTCTTGTTGAATGCGTCTGTAAAGATTATTTCACTGGTGAACGGTTAGTTTTATAGATGAATAGCATGTGGTCTGAGAATAGTTCGATTGATAAAATCCTATATTCAGATGTGAAGAGCGAGTTCAACAGTCTTCTCAGAAGTTTACTCTCATAATGGCAGCAATCGGTTTGCTTTTTTTTGAGTGTCTCTTAAATACTGTTCATTTTCAGGAGGAGTTGTCGTTGTGCTAGTAGCCATTGTTTCTATTGTTTACATGATTTCTTGTCGCTTTAACCGCTTGGATGAAATTCAACCGGAAAAGAGTCATATAGATGATCTTCAAAATAATTTCATATATGGACCACCCATCATCGGTTCGACTGATAGGACTAATAATATATAAGAGTGATTTTACAGATGGGGCACGCCCTGTTGGATATTACTATGAAGACGATGATGAATTCGAATCTAAAAGTATGTACGTGACAGAAAAGGATTCCGATGACAATATTCGAGAGAATACATTAGAACAAAGGTAATCTATAAGACTGTTCTGTGGAAAAATAGTTTCTGATTCCAGGATCCGAACTGCTCAACAGCATATGTACAGACCGAGTATGACTCAAGACCAAATATAAAAGCCTTATTTCTTGAAAATTCACTTTATTCTTAATCAATATATTTCTCATCAAGCAGTTCTAACTCATCTCTTTCATAATATACCAGTTTTGTTTTGGTTTCTTAGTGATTTTCAGCCATTGAGACGGTTTCTACAGAAATTTCTTGATTTCTTTCAATGTTGTGATACATTCCATTTGTGCTCATCGTAATGCCTTAAATCCATGATATAATTAATTATTTTATTAGGATGTTGTAGTTAAACTGTGATATTTTAAAACTCAAAGAGGTTTCTAATAAATATAAATCTATATCTAGTGGAGATACTTCACTACTGTTCATATATTGATCTCCACAATTGGTGAACTTTCCGTTTAATCGATATGACCTCCTACCATATATCTTCAACTTATACAGCGGATACTACCGTTCACTGTCAGCGTCAAAGTGAGAAAAGAGTGTTTTTGGGGATAAAGTCATGTGTTTGGAACGTGGGTGTTAGGTGATTTGAATATTGATTAGGACTCAGTTGCGCCAAGGTATTATTATAGACACTAAGGTTATAAGAGCGGCTCTTAGCGCCAGCGTACGGCTACGATTAGTAGCACGGTAAGAACGTGTTACAATTTTATCTACTACGTTTATGAGTAGATCACAAATGAACTGAAAGGTTTACAACCATTTTCGACTTACTTCGATTGTCTCTGCACTTGAATCTGTGAGGTTAATAACTGATTCTCAGTAGCTGCTAATTGATGGATTTATGTCTCATCCATCCAGAATACTCTACTCAAACCATAGAATAGGAAATTCGGTGTGCCTAATATACTAACCGGCTTGTGACCGAACTTTAAATATGAAGTGTTCTTCTTATAGACGAATGTAGCTTTTTAGATAAGAGTTTTCTTGAAGCTATATTGACCGCATTTGGATAGTTTGTTTGCTGAACGATTTTGCTACTCTTTAGCTCGGCAGTTGAATAGAAAGTATTCTTCTGGCCTCAAAATATTTCTCTCTCGTCTGCGCGTTCTCCACGTTCTCATCACATAGCAGATACAGATCAAACTTAAATGTTTTTTTTCTGAAATGGCTGTACTTTCTTCTGGAAAATCATCCCCTTCACCGACGATGAAACTCATTAAAATTTGAAATTTCTCGTGAGAAATCTCTGAGAAATACTGCTAGAATGAGCTTCCAGTCTTGATTTATATAATGAACATACATTTTCTCACATGTTAGTGCGATTAAGGTTTCCAGGTGTTTTCTTTGTGTGCAAGAATTCGTTTGGCGCCAGAAACATAGCCCCAATGAGGTAGATTAGCTCGACCTCCATATGTTCATAATGCTAAGAAAGGAGTTAGAATTACCCAGGGATATGCTTAGAGTAAAGAAAAGTTCTGAACAGGTCGAAGGTCCATAATTTCTTGGTATCTAATCATATTGCGTTTGCTGTTTCTGGAGAAGAGTCGTTTGCCCCCCTTCATCAACAAAGTTTTCTTCGTTTTCTTTTTATACTAACTTTTGTTGAACGAAATTCTATTCACTTACAGTTTTCGATCATTTTTCAACTATTTTCGAAATTTTGACAATATCTAAGATTCACTTCTTATTACTTCCAAACCACTTCTACTCTTTTCAAATATTGCAATAAAAGTATCTTGTTCCTATTATGAATAGATTTTTTTAAAAAAGTAATCTCTCTTCAACTGATAAGACTCTAGAATCCGGCTATTTGGCTTTCTGTTTCGGTTGTTTAAGACGATTCACGCACTACACCGCCGAGACACACAGGCTGTGGCTTGCCTATAGACAAGTCGGAGGCGGTGTCAGCTCTATCGATTTTCTGCAGCGGGCGCTCCACTAACCTACCACAACAGAGCTACCTCCATAGAGTGCTAGTTCTAGAGAACTTAAACCGTTACTCAGATGTTTATGTGAATTACCTTTACACTAGTGGTTAAAGAGTTGATTTCACGTTAAGAACATTTTGAAAGAACGCTTTAAGAAGTGGTTATGTTGTTGCGGTTGCGTAGCGTCAACCTCCGAACAGCATTGTGACCACACGCTATACGATTTCTTCGAAACTATGTTTCCCACAACATCTTGTTAAATCCCTTTTTCGTTTTCTCAACTATTTTACTGATTCCTCATATTCAGGCTGATTTTATGTCAGAAAACGGCTTTGCTGTAGTTTTTGACGCTAGCACTGGTGAATACTTGGCTCTACCCAATAAAGAAACGTTGGACGACGCCCCAGAAGGTAACAAAGCATATCGGATATTCTGAAATTGTGCATTCTGATTAACATTTTGAAAGTCCTGTACACTTTTGAAAACTTTACTTGATCATTCGGCATATTCTAGTTGACCTTTGAACTCAATATATTTCAGGAACGGTCTTCGATTTCGAAGGACGCACTGTAGAGGTCGCAGCTCTTTGTGGAAGCATCCTCGAAGCACGCCTCCTATCAAGCGACTTACAAGCTAATTTAATGAACGGACAAGTATGCACCTAATTCTCTAGGCTCTTCCTTAACTACTATTTTCTAGCGTGCCGAGAGGAGCAAGTCTGTGGAGATACTCAATGTAGACACTTCTGATAGTACTACGGAGCTCCGTGATCCATCCAATGAAGAAAGCGACCTCAACAGTGTTCGCACTTTGTCTTACATAGGCGAGGGCACTCCAGAATCTAGACATGATCAGGAGGATCCCACCTATGATCGCTACCGTCAAGAAAGCATCGAACCGCCTATTAGTAAGTCTTAGAGGTTTATATATCAATTAATGCTCTGTTTTTTTCCAGATTTCGACTCAGTCGGAGTAGTACGAGATGTTCTTCAAAACCTTCTCAGTGAAATGTCAGACGATGTGTCTAGGATAAACAGACGCTTCCAAGTGAGTTCCAGGGTAGCTCGTCTCTAGAAGTTTTCTGATTTTCCAGGAAATCCGTCAAATTTTGGTTCGCTATTACGGAACAACCCCAGATGGAGCAGTAGTTAATAATTTCGGTTTGTACCCCCTTTCTGAGCACAACTTAATCATCTTTTTCAGATGAATTCCCAGAAACTTTAGCATTGGTTGGAGATTTGAGTCCTTCACGCAGTTTGTTAACGAAACGAGATCACTCAGTGCGCTATGTTCCACGCCCAAATTATTTCGATAAGCTAGTGTTACTGGAGCGCAAAAAGTAGAATAAGGGTTTTGACTATCTCAAAACAGTGATACTGTTTCAGGAAAGCAGCAAAAAGAGCGTTCGATGCTGATGAATACATGGACGATCAACCCCCCAGAAAGCGTGACTTTGGAAGAGCTGGATCAGGTAGGCTGGCTGTGTCGTCGAAGTTTTATACTGAAGAACTTCTTTTTAGTTTTAACACATCCATTTTTGGATGAAGAGATTGAAGAGCGCATCTTCTACGAAGCACAAGGTAGTTTCGCTGTGTATGCTCAGAAACTCAGTAAAGAACTTTTCGCAGACACTCTACATTTGTATTTCAAGGTAGTATAATGAATGCAATTGAATTGTTTCATAGGGCGTTTCAGGACCAATGCTCCAAAAAACGTAATTGGTTTCATGAAGCCGTCGACTATCGTTTCCCATCTGAAGATCGGGCAGCACATCTGCAGAAATGGAAGAATTGTTCCTATTACATCAATAAGAATATGACTACAGCTACCAAGAAAGACAAGCCAGTCAGTAAAGCTGAAAGTGAGTATAGTCTCAGGATTCTTAGATAAAAATCGTATAATTTTCAGTTAACTATAAGTACTTGAACGCAGCTATCGAGAAGTCTTGTCACGACAAGAGTAACAAGGATCCTATTAAGTACGCTGAACTTATGGCCCTTTACCTCTTCTCTGACTCTTTACAAAAGTTTTTCAAAGAACAGGTAATAACCACAGTGTAGTTCTGATGAGCAGTCATATTATTCAGGATCCTAAGAGAAAAGACTGGCTCAGACACTGTGTGGATACTCGTTTTCCTATGAACGACAAACTGAAAAGAGATCAACGATGGAAAGTATGTGCTGTTGCTTGTAATAGAAACCGAACCAAAGTCGTCAACTCCGATGGATCTGGTTAGTTATTACTTTTGTTAGGCAGTCCATATGTTCTGGGTGTTTAGAAACTCAATATCCTTATTTCCCCAAAGAGTATGAAGAAGAGAGCTTCCGAAGCAGTAGTGGATCAGCTGCGGTATATTGTGAGCTCATATGTGAACGTCTTTTCCCAGAATCACAACATTTATTCTTCAAGGTATGTTTCTTTTCGCATTTGATAATACTAAAACTCTTTTATAGGATAGAGATCTAGGAAAGCGTAATTGGTTACATGACCTTCTGGACTCTCGCTTCCCAACGCCTGATAAAACTGCTCATATCGCTAAATGGAAAAACTGCACTTCAAACATTAACAAAAATGTTCCCGGTATGAGTTCAGCTGATTTTTTCGGTAATAAGAGCAAACATTCAGCTGCTCAATTGGAATTGGAAAAACGGCAGGAGAAAAAAAACAACCCAAAAGTTAAAAGCGACACGAAGCCCAAGTATCCCACGGAACTAATCGTCCCTTCAAGCTCAGCTAGCTCAGGAGAGCGCTCATCGTCGCGTTCAAGTAAACGAGCTCAAAAGGGAGAGATGATTCCGAACTTTCCGCCTGAAATGAATATTAATGAAGACGAAGAACAGGAATGCTGGGATTTCTCTAAAGGAAACATTCAAGTCTATGCCCGTAATATCGGGCGTGCTGTTTTTAAAGACTCGCTCAAGTTAAGCTTCAAGGTAGGATAGCTCTGTAGCAACGGAATTTCATTGTTTTGTTCAGGATCAAGACGAAAGCAAGAAAAAATGGATACAAGAAACTATTCAGTATCGTTTTCCAAACACTAACGTGGAGCCAGAAAGCCGGCAATGGCGAGTAGTGGTTGCTTCTATAAACAAGAACGCCAGTTTGAGATGATTATTCCACATTTCCCTCTTAGGATATTCACTTATTGGCTGAAGTACTTCTATCTACTTTCCGGTTCTAATAATAATAATCTGAATGTACTCTTTTAAAGTTTCTCATTTTACTATTTTGTGCTTTATGGACTTCTTACAACGTCGAAAATTCGACAAAAACTAATTTGACAATCATTGTACTATTTTGTCGTATATGAAAATGAAAAAGATCAGTTATTTATAAGGCTGAAGCAAAACAATATAGAGTTATAAATATATTTAACTGCAATGCGTAAACACTTTTGGATGGATGCGGTTCACTAAAAGCCAATCCATGCCAGCTTTCGGAAGACGGTCCATACTCCACACATGTATTTGTAGCCTAAACATTGCACAATCGATTTACCTCATACATACTGTTAACACTTAATCGATTTTTCTCAAACGTACTGTTTTCACAGAGCCCAAACGACAAAGACATTTGAATCCCATTCCACCAATCATATTCCTACACTCTTGGCTATCTGTATATTGTTAATTCTAACATTAGACTCCCACTCAATTTACCCGAACACATATTTTGTCTTCCACAAGCATTATTATGCACGCAATGTTCTACGTCAGATCGAAACTCTTGACCAGCTGGACATGGACAAGATATGTTCCATTGATTGTTTCGAATACCGTTGAATTCATTATTCAAACTACGCTTGAAAACAAGGTTAGCTGAGTAATGGAAAACGTTTGGTTTACTTTCATTGAACATAGCTCTGGCTTTTTACAAACATTTCTGTGGCACTCTCGTTCAGTGAATTGCACCGAGTTCTTATCCACACTAGAGCAGCAAGGATCTGGACAAAAGCTGAGAAAAATAATGTGGGATTATATGTAAGCAAATTTGTGGAAAACCTGCGAACAGCGCATTCGAATGGCATTCCGTTTAATTCATCTATGAATCCCGGTTTTTGTTTGATTTCAGCTCCTCTCCACAATAACTAAACAAAATATGATGTGATTCCTTTGGCTTCTCTCACATTTCCTTGCTTTCCCCATGTCACATCATAGCGGCAGAAAGGTAAGTCTTCGAATATAATCACTTCGTTCATTGCTAAGAAACAGAAGACCTGGAGAAACTTGTATAATCTGAAAAAGCAGAATACCTGGCTTGTGCTCAGCTCAAGCTGAAGTAAATTATCATTGATGAATTGCTTCATGTTCTCTTCGCTTAATATGGCTTTAAAAACTAGAATGTCGGCTTGAAAACCTGAGAGTTGTTTGAGGGAAAGAGTTGTTCTCTGGTAATAACCATGGTTGAGATAGTTTCAGATAGTTCAAAACGTAATCAACGCATTTCTTGAAGAACTTATTATAATCTTGTAAGCGTTCAGCTACCTGTAAACTGTCCAAGCAACTTTCGACAAGTTCTCTATCTAAGTCGTTTTTCGGCTCTGGCCATTGGTGAAGATATCTAAAAAAAGAAGTTTCCTTCTAACTTTTTCGGTACCGACCCATTCCCCCTAGTGGTAGGAACCAGGGATTTATGAATCCGAGAGTAGAATGCTAGAATTCCTATTTTGTGAAGAAGAGGCTTCATATCAACACGTTCTTGCATACGAGCTAGTTCACTACAACATAATTCATAACGTAGATGAGACGGCAAAACTAAACTCTTGGACATTCCCCACAAGGTTATCTGTGAAATACGGTTCCAAGTCATTGTCTTCATAGAGAGACAAGGATGTAATGAATAAAGGCTGAACAATCAAGAAGTTAAGGAGAAAGATGTACATTTGGCTAGCCCACTTTCACATTTAGAGAACAGGACTCTAGCGTCTTTTACTTATAATTTATGCTAATGAGCTGACGCGTGGTTAAGTTCATTAGAATAGGCCGGTAACACAGGAAGCTGCATATCAACAGAGGCATTTCTTGAATCCGCAGAAAATTTCTTTTTGAATTACTTTCAATCTCCTCAAATAGATCTACTAAGGCAAGCCAAGAAAATGAACGAGACTTGTTGTATTCCTTTAGGACAGAAGAATACAGAGTTGGTCGTAGTGATGTGATTTGCATCGTGACATTTAGAGTTTGGTTGAACTACTGCAGGTCTTGTTTTTCTCTCTTGGTGCATCCCTCTTGTAATTGTCATCATTTACGAAATAATTGATTACGTATATGGATGTATCTGCCCTTTGATTTTCTCAGCATGATTTTCAAGAATTATAGCGCTTTCTCTCTTTTTAACTCCACTTCATATTATCATTTAGCATTTGATATTTCCGGGGGAAAATCTAGCTGTTTGTTGTTTCTTGAGTTACCTAGTTGCGTCATCTGGTTCTGAAGTTCTAAGAACGATGTAGGCAACTGCCCTTTGGTTCCTTGTGCAAGAAAGATTGGTGTTACTAGTAGGCTCTAGTGTCTGGTGATACCGCATTTAAGAACAAGTCTAACATGCCGATTGCTAATAAATGTTAAAAACTATTTCTCAAATTTCAAGTGGTGTTTTCCGATTGTCGTAGGTTTTCTGTAGTTCATTGCAAGTTACCTGACCGAAATAATTGGAGCTCACTTGATCCTGTATGTGAACGATGAAAAAGAGAGAAACACCGCTCACAGTGCTTTTCACGTGAAAAATGAAACACGGCTCACAGTGCTTTTCACGTGAAAAACGAAACACCGCTCACAGCGTTTTTCACGTGAAAAATGAAACACAACTCAGTACTTCTCACGTGAAAATGAAACACCGCTGTCCGTACATTCTTACAACGCAACGTGTGCCAACATCGGAATATTATATGAAATATTCCGAAATGAACAAGAAGCTCTGATTTGTTCAGGTTCTTCGAATGCATAAGATGAAATAGAAAATGAATTACAAGAGTTGGTTTGTAGTCTGAACTGTAGTCTCAACAGATGAGTTGAACAACTAACAGATGTCTCAATTGATTTTTTGTGTTCCCTGTTCGTTGTTTTTCGTAAAATCATCCAAATGGGCTGCGTATCTCACCCTTCCTGTCCCTTTAACGAACTTCAATTATTAATTATTTAATTTCAAATTCTTTCGTTTCTAGCGGATGATGTAGATTCATACTTAGGCTTGTAAGATATGAGATATCGTGAGGGTTTTGTTGATTATTTGCTTTTATAATAGAGGAGATTGGAGTTT